AGCCCAGACATTCTGAGGTTGGTTAAAACGCTGGTGGCAGACAGGCCTGGAGGGCTGAGGGGCCTGGCATTCCTCCCTGGGCTGAGGCAGGAAGGCTGGGCAGTGGTGTGTAGTGGTGGGGGTTGAGTGGGGCGGGGGAATTCTTCTTGGCTCAGGGGTCGAGGAGAAGGGCTGGTGGCAGAAGAATCGGCAGAGATGAATCATGGCTTGGCGTGAGCTGTCTCTGGGCTAAAAGGAGCCGTCCAAGTCCATGGAATCTTTGTGTTGGAGCTGGAAGAAAATCTGGGGTCATGAGATTCATTGCTGTGGCCAGCACTGTGCTGACAAAAAAATACAAAACAGAGAGGGTGGGGCGCTGTCCTGAGGGGTGGGAACGGGTCTCTTGCCCTGATTGTGGGTGAGGGGAACTTTGGGGCGAGCCCCTGTGTTATTAATACACATGGGCTCCATTCTGGACACTGAGCAGAACAAGCCTGTGACCACAAGGGGCTGTGTGGCTGAAACAGGGTGGTGACATGATGGGGGAGCCTATATGGGGAGCCTGTATGGGAGTGGGTGTTTGGGGGAGAGACCTTGTTGCAGGAGGCAGCGTTTATTTCTTCTTTCCTTTCCTTTTCATTTCTTCCTTCCTCCCTCCTCTGTCCCTCCTTCCCTTCCTTCCTTTCTTTTTGAAGATTTATTTATTTTTACTGGAAAGGCAGAGCAGATTTACAGAGAGAAGGAGAGACAAAGATCTTGCATCTGCTGGTTCACTCCCCAAGTGGCTGCAATGGTCGGAACTAAGCTGATCCAATGCCACGAGCCAGGAGTTTCCTCCAGGTCTGCTACATGAATGCTCTGTCCCAAGACTTAGGGCCATCCTCTGCTACTTTCCCAGGCCACAAGCAGGGAGCTGGATGGGAAGTAGGGTGGCCGGACATGATCCAGCACCCATATGGGATCCTGGCACTTGAAAGGTAAGGATTTAGCCATTGAGCCAACATGCCAGGCCTAGCAGGCAGCTTTGCTAGATGCTGGGAGGAGGACTGCAGGCAGGGAGTGGCCAGGTGCCAGAGCTCTGGTGGTGGTAGTGGGTGAGAGATGAGCTGGGAGGGTTTGATGACCACAGAGGGGGGAGAGGGGTGGAGCCTGGGTCAGGTTGGACCTTGGGAGCTCAGAGAGTGTGAGGTTGGGAAGCTGTTGCTTTGACTAATAATGTAGGGCTGACTCCTTTCCCATCCCTGTGGGTGTGTGAGCACTTAGCACCTCCTGAGTTCCCAGCTTTATCCACATGTTCTGCCTCGGTCCTGCAGCCATCGTCTCTCAGCAGGTCCCCAGGAGGCCAGATGAGGGACACACAGACTTGCCCAAGCCATACTTAGGTCAAGCAGCTCCGTCAATCCCAGACTTGTTCCCTTGGCTTCCGCTCCCTCTAAAAAACACTGGGAAAGTTCACTAAGAGACTTGGGATCTTATGGTGTGACTGAAGCCTTTGTTGGAGCAATGATGCTGTTGTCTTGGCTGGTCCTGTTCTCCTCATCTCCTTCCACAGGTGCTGGCCCCAGAAACACTGCTGGATAAACCCCAGCATGCTGGTCTCCATGTCAGTGGCTGCTTTCTGGGGACCCAGCCCTGTGGCAGTGGCAGTTGTGATGGGGATGGTAATGAAGGTGGTTACAAGGTATGGCAATAGCTGGATGTTATTCCAAAGGCCCATTTTGAGAGACTTCATTCCCAAGGTCTTACATTAACGGCTGTTGGATTAAAGGTGGAGACCGATCCGATTACCTAATCAATAGTCTAGTCATTATTTGGTCCATTGGTCCTCAGGGAGTTGCCATTGGAAGTAGTTCTTTTCTTTATTTATTTTTAAAAGATTATTTATTTTTACTAGAAATTCAGATTTACAGAGAGAAGGAAAGACAGAAAACCTTTCATCCACTGGTTCATTCCTCAAATGGCCTCCACAGCCAGAGCTGAGGCACTCCGAAGCCAAGAACCAGGAGCTTCTTTGAGATCTCCCACGTGGCTGCAGCGTTCCAAGGATTTGGACTATCCTCTGCTGTTTTCCCAGGCCATAGCACGAGGCTAGATGGGAAGTGGGGCAGCTGGGACATGAACTGGTGCCCATAGGGGATGTTGACACTTCAAGGTGGAGGATGAGCTTGTTGAGCCATTGTACTGACCCTTCTGGTTCTTTAAGCTAAGCTTGGCCTCGCTTCTGTCTCCTTCCTGGCTCACTACGTGATTGTTCCTTTGTGTCCGTGGGCTATCCCCCAGCCTCCAACAGACATCACACCACTGGGGCTGTGAACCCCTAAACTCTGAGGTTAACCTCTCCCCTTCTAACTGGTTCCTCCCCAGATGTCTGATTCAAAGGAGTAGAAATCTGAGTACTTGAGTGATGGTGGTGACAGTGAAGATGATGAAAATGGTGGTGGTGATGTGACACCAGCCAGGCTGCCACACGACACATCCCAGGCTGTGTGTGGCTCACACGACAGAAACTGTCGCACAGTTCTGGAGTCTGGGGAGGCTAAGACTGAGGTTACAGCAGGTTCAGCTGCTGGTGGAGGCCCCATCTCCAAGCACAGTCACCCTGGGGGTCAGGGCTGCAGCCCGTCAAATTTGGGGTGACAAGTCATTCTCACAGAATAGTGCTTTCTGTGAGATCCAACGTGTTATGACCTGGTCCTGAGACACCCCAATCCTGGAGGAATGATTAGGAAAGGTTAAAGGAGAGACGCTGTGGTAGCTGTGGTAGCTGTGGTAGCTGTGGTAGCTGTGGTAGCTGTGGTGCAGTGTTCTGAGGGGGTGGGATGGGCTTTCCCGTCCCTTTCCTGGCTGTAAAGGGCCACTTGTGTCATCTCCGAAAGCCATTGTTTCTCCTTCTCCTCATTCATGCATGCTTCCTGCCCACAGCCCTCCCTCTCCATCCCTCCCTCCCTTCCTTCATCCAAACAAGCCATCGTTCCCTCCATCTGCCTACTCATACACTCATCCCTCCCTCTCTCCATCTCCTCAACTGTCCTTTGTTCCTCTGCCCACCCTGTATCTCTTCACCCACCCATCCACCCACTCACCCACCCACATACTTATGCACCTGCCTGTTTTGTTAGTGGGCGCCTAAGATGAGGCTTAGAGGCTCAGTACAGGTCAAGGAAGGCCACAGCCAGGGCTTTCTTAGCAGGTGGAACAGCAGGGGTGAAGGCCTGGAGGCCAGCTTCAGGATGGCATGGGGAGTTAGGGTTACAGCAGGCTTAGGGGGACTGCTCGGGCAGCCCTGCTGAGGTTCCCAACAGTGAGGCTGGAGGTGGGGAGACCCCGAGGTAGCCAGGGATGAGAGGGCCCCTCAGCTGAGACAGGGTTGGAGGTGGGGGGCAGAACAGGGAAGTCGGAGTTCTCATGAGGATCCACCGAAACAATTCCAACGAATTAAGCGTGGCCATCACTCGTGGCTGCACATGAGCTCAGGGGATGTGGTTGCCAGTGCCTCGGCCCCAAGTCCACAGCATGGCATTTCTTGGGGCACTGCGATTAGGCGGGCTCCTGGATGCCTGCGGTGGAGCTGGGGTGAGGCTGATGAAGCTGGTCGTGGGTGCTTGCTAGCACTGGGCCTGTCCTCGTTTCCCGGGAGGGTCCCAGGCACAGGTGAATCTGTGACATCACTCAGAGCCCTTGGGTCCTGCCAGCAGGCGACAGGCAGAAGCATGGCTCGAGTTGGCCCTGCCAGCCCATGTCCTTGCCCAGGACAAGGCCCAGCTCAAGGGGCGGCTGAGTGGACCGTGAGCTGTGAAGCAGGAACATATAGCTAGAGATGCTAAGGCCCACTTGGAGACTGCAAAACCCCTAGAGCTGAACTCACGGAAGGGCACAGGACGCCCTCGTGTGGCCATAACCAGACTCATCTGAGTAAAGCCACATATCTGAAGCAAATCAAACCTTAGCTGCACACCGCCCTTGGAGCTCCGGGCTATCCCTCTCATTTTGTTTGGGCAGCCACGGAGCCGCTTCTGAAGGGCAGGAATCACTTTCAACTCTAACCTGGACAGAAATGTCTCAACAATTAAACAAAAAAAGTCTGACCAAAAGCATGTCCGGTGGGGAAACTGTGGCCACACCATAGAATTAGGATCTGCCCAGGGCGGGCCTGTGGGGTCCCACAAGGGGCCTGATTGGAGACTCTAGCAGGCTCCCTCTGCGGCCGGCCTCCACAGCCAGTGCAGAGAGCAGCTTTGAAGTTCTGTGGCCTCCACCAGGGCCTGGAGAAGTTTTAGCAATGGCACATTTCCAAAGCAGTCAGCCTGGGCCTCAACAGAAACACCAGCCACCAGCAGTAGGAACACGCCTGACTTGGGCAGTCCCAGATTTGACGATGACTGTCCGTCCTTGAGTGTGTTTTTATTTGAAAACTAGGCTGTCTTCATCATGGTTGGCATGACTGTGCTAAGTGAGAAGGGGTGGGGAGAACAGCAGCGAAGGGATCAGAGATTCAATCTGTGGCTGCGGCCAGGGTGACAGGTACTCTGCGTGGGTACAGATCTGAATGAACCACTGCCACTCGCATCTCACAAGAGAGTAGGACAGAGTAGGGGCACCAGTGCCTTCACAGTAGCTTGAGCTCCATGTGACACCTGGGGGGCCTCTGGGTAGAGGTGCTGTGGTAGCCTGCCACACCTGAAGCCCCCCGCCCTGGGCACAGGAACCTGCCTTCCAACCTACATCTTGGCGCCTGGTCTTTGGTTTCAGGGTGTCATCCCAGCCAATGGTTCTCAGACATTAGGATGTGACAAGCAAGCGGAGTGACAACAGGAATTGCCAGGACACACTTCCATCTTGACAGTGTTTTATCTGGCAAAGACCAAAGGCCATCTTCTTTCTCCCGTGTCCTGTAAAGTGTGGGACACAGAAAGCTCCTGGGGCAAGTGTGATGTCCCCCCAGGGGACCTCTGGGAACCCCATGAGGCCTGAGCAGTCCTGCAGGTACGGGAGGGATCCACAACAAGGCTGACTGGCGAAACCCATTGCCTCACATCCTTTTATTTATTATTATACATATATATATTTATATGCAGCTCTATGTACAATCATTGGTTCCATCGAACAAGACTAAGGCATCCTAAGGTATTCTCAGCAAAATGAGATCTTTATGGACTTGGGTGGGAAAGCTACGGAAACTTGACATTGTCACCCACTTCAGTCCTGAGGCAGCGCACGAGGCAGGGAATGTGGGCTGAAAGCAAGCACAGGATTCAGAGCAAGGACACTGTGTATTTAAGGGGTGTCAAGTCGCTGTGGGGGACAGCAAACAGCGTGCGTGGCTGTGAGTTGTCCCAGGGTGACAGGCTTCCCGACGGCCGGATGAGTGCACCATGGGGGCGCACACAGCTGGTGCCACCTGCCGCAGGCCCTGGGTTCACTTCTCTCCTTCGCCTTTCTTGGGCTCTTGTTTCAGTCTGTAGTCAGCCAGGGCAGCCTTGATGGCGTCCTCAGCAAGCACTAGAAGGAACGCAGGGAGACAGCCTGAAGAAATGGCCTTGACAATGGGAACAAGGACTGGGAAGGCTAGGAAAGGATTGGGTGCTGGCGTGTGGAGAGCCAGGGGCAGCTCTGGAGACGGCCCGGGGTTCAGTGCTTGGAGTCCGAGGTTTGCTCTGTAGCTTATGGAACCCATCCTCCCCCTTGGAAAAACGGGACAGTCAGCTTTCCATGTAGGCACAGGGTGGGGACTTAGAGCAAGCATCGCACAGGCAGCACAGACACAGCTGTTTGCATCGTGGACTCCCACACAGAAGCACTTGATGCTTGCTGCCCAGTGGGCCTAGCGCAGGTCAGTGTGGCCGGGGCAGCAGATGTGGTCTGCCCCACCACTCTCCTGACATTCTATGCTGGCAACTTTGATTCAGGAGTCAAGCAGAGGGGAATGCTGAGAAAGCTGGATCGACAGCAGGGAGCCAGTAAGCGAGAGTGTCAGCTCAGGGCTTCTGGTCCCCTAAGACCAGGGTAAGGTGAAGGGGTCACCAGGCCATGGCCTCTCATGGTACTTTGAGCCCAGCTGTGGGGCAGGACCCCGGCAGGCTTCCTGAAGCCCACACCAGCGCAGCCTTGGCTCTCGTGTCTCCTGCTGACAAGAGGCCAGCTCTCTGCTCACGCTCAGCTCCTGTGGTCAGGACCTGCCCAGGGCTAAGGCACTGCTTCTCAGCCTGAGGAGGTTGAGAAGGACTGGGAGAAGTGTTAGATCTGATGCCAGGACTGCACAGGATGGCCAGCGTGTGGGTTAGGGCACGTGGCTTCCCCCAGGATGGTGGGCTCAGTCACTCGGCAGACAGGCCCTGACAGCAACAGCGGCTGCAGGGGAAGTGAGGAGACTCAGTGAGCAGGCCGCTGGCAGAGCTGCTGTCTGTCTGCTGGTCCTAACTGTGCTACAACATCAGGTGGTAGTGAACAGGTGACCAACGGACTGCAGTGAGGGGCTGGTGTTGTGTAGTGTGTGAAACCTCCACGCTGACATCCCATGTGGGTGCAGGTTCGTGCCCTGGCTGTTCCATCTCCCTGCTAGTGGCCTGGGAGAAGCAGTGGAGGATGGCCCAAGCACCTGGGCCCCTGCTACTCATGTGGGAGACCTGAATGAAGTTCCCGGCTTCTAGCTTTAGGTCTGGCCCAGCTGTGACCATTGCAATGATCTGAGGAATGAGCCAGAGGAGGTAAGCTCTGTCTCTCCTCTCTAACTCTGCCTTGCAAATAAACAAAAATTCTAGAACTAAAGCAGAGGGTATGAACTCTGTGTGACGTGGGTGATTTAAGGTGAGTGCTAGCTTCCCTGTCTGCAAGGGGGGTGTGTGATGGTTTCTGCTGTGGGCCCGAGGGTGTCACCACAGTTTGGAAATAAGGCCCAGGGGTTCAGCAGATGGCCTGGTGCACCAGCTCCTGGCACGATCCTTCGAGAAAGCTGCTGAGAACAAGGGTGCAAAGGACTGTGGTAGTTTGGTCAGTGCTAGAGTCTCCGTTGGCTGGCACAGGGCTGGGCGGGCCGACTTACTGGAGCAGTGCAGTTTCACAGGTGGGAGGCAGAGCTCCTTGGCGATGTCTGTGTTCTTGATGGTCAAGGCTTCCTCTACCTGACAGGCATAAGGAGACACGCGCGGCTTTAGTGAAGCAGCATCACGTGATGGCCCACTGGCCCGGAGGTGGGTGGGGTCCAGCCAATGGACTGGCTGTAAAAGTCCTGTGGGACCTAGCTACTTGCTCTGCACACCACTCACTCCCTCACCAGCCTCATCCTTTGTTTGCCAGACAGTGACACAGGTGGATCTCCAGCCTGGGGAGCCACCTAGAAATCTCTTTCCTTCCTAAGTAGCTGGTCTCCGATTGTTATGGCGATGATGAGCGCTGACACATCACCCAGACTCCCAAATAAAACCGATCAGCGATGCAAAACCCAGACGTGATGCCCGGCGCTGCGGAGACTGTCCTCGACACGCAGTCAGGGAGGAGTGAAAGTGTGCAGGACGGTATGTGTGGATGACAGCGGTGACCTGCTTTGGTCCTGGCCGCCCTTGCCCCTTTGGGTGGCAAGTGGGAACCCCAGTCCTTACCGTCTTCCCTTTCACCCACTCAGTGGCCAAGGAGCTGGAGGCGATGGCTGAGCCACAACCGAAAGTCTTGAACCGGGCATCCACGATCTTCCCCTTTTCATCCACCTGAATCTAGGAGAGAGTGAAATGGTGATTCCGGGGTCTTCCCCAGGAACTCAGGGTGCGCCATCCTGGCCTTGGGTTAAACCACTGCTTAGTGACCCTGCTTGCTTTCAGAGCGGATCGGGGTGAAAAATGTGATGAAGGACGCGGCAGCACCCACGCACCCAGGCCTTGCTGCTGCACGTACTGGCTGCTGCCCTTCAGCTCTGGCCTCAGAGTCTGCTGGCAGATTGTGCCCCTGCTGTAAGTACTGAAGGCAGGCTTCCTTACAGGGCTCCGTCAGCCCTACTCGCCTTGGGCACTGAGCTGCATGAAGTGGTAGTGGTTCCCTCTCGTCCTGCTTTCTGCTCTCCTAGGTTGGTGAGAAGTCCCCAGCGGGCTGCCCTCCGCCCACCAGGAGAAAGGAGACTATGGACAAAGCTCCGGCTCACCCAGAGTTCCAGCTGCTTCCTTCAGGATGCTTCTGGGCTAGGGAGACACATGAGGCAACAGCACCTTCGCCTCAGCTAAGTGGGAACCTAGGCTGATACGGCGAGGACAGAAGCGAGGTGGGTCTCTCTTTGAGAAAACCCCACACAACAGCAGCAGAAGTACGATGGACACCCCACTTGGGCCTGCAACAATCTAGACACCAAACACATCGCATGTGTGTGAGCACCCTGCTCCCCCCACCCCCCCGCATCAATGCCAAGCGGTTGGTACCTGCAATTTCATGACGTCCCCACAAGCAGGAGCCCCCACCAGGCCGGTGCCAACATTCTTGGCTGTCTTATCCAGAGACCCCACGTTCCTGGGATTTTCATAGTGGTCCACAACCTGAAATGAGAGGGCAGGGAGAGTTCATGACCACCCCATGGGGACTGGTCTCTGATGCCTTTTGCAGCCTCTAGCGGGCAGGTCCTCACCCAACTTCCCTGGAGAAGGGCAGCCTACACCAGCACCCATGACAATCACTTGCAAACCCAGCTCCTTCAGATTCGGGTTCTGCCCTCTCTGCCCTCCCTGCCCCCTCCAGATAGTTCTCAGATACAATCCATTCTGGAAGGACATTTAATGAGGACTAAATATTTAAGAATCCTGCAGCTGGTTATGGTCCAGGAACTTCCTCAGAAACTTCCCGTGAGTGCTAGATAGAGAAGGTGTCCATTTGTCTTTCAAAATAAAAAATCACGCCAGGGCTGTTGTTATTTCTGGGCACCCTGGCGCAGGTGCTCCCCCTGGCGGCCCCAGGCTGCTAGCCCTGGTTTCTTTGCAAGCCAAAATAAACACATCAATAAAAAGTCAACACACACACACACAGGGGCGGGCACGAGGGCACCGCACAAACACCCGCCCCACACTCGCACGCTCCACAGCTTTCGCAACTTCCATGTCGGCCTGCCCAGCCAGCACCCCGACCTCCCCAGGCACACCACCCTCCATCCGACCACAGACCTCCCGAGATGACCGTGTCACGCTGACTGACGGTTTAGCGGCGTCCCCGGAGAAGGGGTCGCACGCTTAGGGGCACTTTCCGCTTCGGGGACACCGCCAAGGGCTGCACCCCACACCTCTTACCTTCGCCAAGGAATAAAAAAAAAAAAAAAAAAAAAAAAAAAAGCAAAGCAAAACAGAAACAAAACAACCCCAAACGCCCATGGGGTCCGACCCCACACCCTCGACGCGATCCTGGGACACTGACAGCGCCCCAACAGTGGGTTCAATTCGGGTACCTGCCGGGAACCCCGTTTTACACTGTGAGAACTGCCCAAGGTCCCTCGGCCAGGGAGCTCGAGCCGAGCTGTGTCCCCGACCACCGTCGGGACGCAGCGAGTGGCGGCCGGCGGAGAAGCCCCCCACTGCCCCGGGAGTCGCCGTCTGATCAGTTTTTTGGAAATGTCAGCTGCTCTTAGCGAAGGGAGGCACAAGAGTGGCAGCGGATGGCAGCTGCCCTTTTTGGCCACTTCTATCAGGGGCCGCCTAAGTCCCTCTGGGCCGCTCGGGCCCCGTCCCTGCTACCTTCTTGTGGTAGAGTCGGGCGGGAGCGGACAGCTCCCGGGCGGCCAGGCGCGGGCTCCGGAGCAGCAGGGCCGACGCCGCCCTCCTCAGACGGCCGGCTCCAGCTGCCGCCATCTTGCCGGCTTGCACCTGCGCCACCAGAGTCGCGCCGACGTCATCGCGCCTGCGCCGGGCGCGCGTCCTCGCGGCCTGAGCGTCGCCATGGCTACGGGCGAAGGCGCGGGAAGGTTCGCGGCGGTTCTGAGGGTACGAGAGCGCGCTTGGACGTGTCGGAGGCCGCTCGGGGCTGCCTTCCTTCTTCCTGCGGAGTTTTAGAGCGCAGTAGTGTCAGAATTAACGCCCCGTTGGGATCCGAGCTCGGAGAGAACCCGCAGTGGGGACCCTGGTTTTGTGGCCTCCCGCCGGGGACCATCACTTAGGAACGCTTGTGTTTATCCGCAACGCAGATACGGATTAAGTAACACATGACCGTCAGGCCCCGCACCATTCCTGTGCGCTTCAGCTCGGTCGTGAGGGAGAAAGGCTGTACGTTAAAAATCCCACACTAGTATTTTCCGACCTCAGAAATGTGACATTTCGGGAATAATATGATTTTACAAGCTTGGAAAAATACGAACATATTTAAGCCCAGCAGAAAAGCGGAAATCTCTTTGGTTTGGGAGATAGATCGATCGAGCCTTTCCAGACTCGCTCCCTCGGCGTTTGAAGACATCGGGATGCGCTCCGGGTCCCACAGGGCTGACCTTCTCAAGATGGCGTCAAACCCCTCACGACAGACTTCGCGCTGATCCCTGTCTGGTTCCCACTTCCTGTCGAAAGACCCAACTTCTGTCTCAAGTTGTGGCGGAAGACATGCCACACGGATGAGATTTGTCTCTGACGGAAACCTTTACAAGTGTGTTAAAAACAACACGAACTGCGTAAATGTGCTTGTTTTTTTTTTTTTTCTGTCATTTGGAGCTCTTCGTTACCCTCTCGGTGGCAAGAAAGCGGAGTTTTTGATCAGGCGTGCGCCGCGGGCAGCTACGACCTGTGCCGGGTCTTCGGCGGCCGAAGGGAGACCCGGGAGTCCCCCTGAAGCGCAAGATGGCGACGGCGGCTGCAACCTCGGCTTCGGAACCCGAGGCTGAGCCCGAGGCTGGGCCCAAGATCGAGGGAGAGGAGGAAGACGGGGAAGAGGAGGAGGCGGCGGCCAAGGCGGCGAGGACGAGGAGGAAGGTGTTGTCGCGGGCCATGGCCGCCGCGACGTGCAAGAGCATCGGGCCAGAGTGGGATCGGCAGGAGGAAGGCGTGAGCGAGAGTGATGGGGACGACGAGTACGCCATGGCTTCGTCGGCGGAGAGCTCCCCCGGGGAGTACGAGTGGGAGTGCGACGAAGAGGAGGAGAAGAACCAGCTGGAGATCGAGCGGCTGGAGGAGCAGGTGGGCTGCGGATGCGCAGAGGCCGGCCCGCGCGCGGGGGTCCTCGGCGGTGTCCATCCCCGCAGCTCCTGTCCAGTGCGCGCCCGGTGCTTTGCGAGCGTGGTCGGAACCCGCTGCGGAGCATCCCCCCTCTCCGGCTAAGGTCTGCTGGAGGTCGGAGTTGGATCTTAGCAAGTTGGGGGTAAAGCTGTAGGGATGATTGGGACCGGTCGGATAGGGCCGTGGGAGGGAACGAGCTAGCCGAGCCGGGAAGCGAGCGGACGCCCCAGGTGGAATTGTTTTACTCGTGTGTGTGTGTGTGTGTCCTAGCGGTGTGTGTGTGTGTGTCCTAGCGGTGTGTGTGTGTGTGTGTGTGTGTGTGTGTGTCCTAGCGGTGTGTGTGTGTGTGTGTGTGTGTGTGTGTGTGTGTGTGTGTCCTAGCGGTGTGTGTGTGTGTGTGTGTCCTAGCGGTGTGTGTGTGTGTGTGTGTGTGTGTGTGTGTGTGTGTGTGTGTCCTAGCGGTAATTGTAATCCAATGTCCAGCAGCGCCCTGGTGTCTGAGGGCGTTGCAGCTGCAGCCGGCGGGGGCCAGGCAAGAAAAGAGATGATGGGAAGGGAGACGGCTCCGAAGGTGACCACACAGGTGGGAGCAGGCCAGTGATGGCGAGTTGCAGAGCCTATGGCTCTGTCTTTGTCCCTGTGTGCGCCCTGGGTTTTGGAAACGGGTTTTCCCGTTTTTTTTTTTTTTTTTCCCCAAAACTCTCTGTTCCTCACTCAGTTTTCCCAACTGCCTTAGCGCTGAGGCCATAGTTATGAGACGCAGTCGGCTGAGGAAGAAAGCCTGGCCCGGCCGCATTGGCGAATGCGGGGCGTTTGGCTCTCTGCCCCGGTGTCTTTGGTAGCCTCAGAAGTTCCTGCTTGTGTGTGTGTACGCGCGGTGAAGCTGGAAGTGGGGTCTCCGGTGCCCACAGCTGTTTTGGCCACGTGGGGACCCCAGCTGCACACTCGGGGGAGAGGGCCTGGTACAGGACAGCACTGCAGTTGGTGAATTGGAAGTGGGAATCAGGCCTCCTCCCAGGGCTGTCGCAGGCACTGACTGACGTGTGCGTGTGGCTCTTGGCTTGCTTCGGCACCTAGTAGGTGCCTGGAAAAGGCCTGCCTGCTCTCCCTCTCCTGCCCTCCCCTTGCCTGTCTGCTGTTCCTGGGGACCTGTGGGCGTGGCCGCTTCTCCAAGCTGCTGGGGATCCCTGTGTTTTGGCTGAGCCGCCTCTGCTTTGCGTCTTGTGTTCCTGGTGGTGCCGGGCCCCGGCGGGCCCGCCCTGCTGTGTGCATTTACTGTGTGGTGCAGGCCCCAGACCGCCTAGAGGTAGGCTCTCAGCTTTGGTTGGTCTGGCCTTTTGGTGTGCTGGCGATGCGTGGTGTTCTTACTGGAGCACAGGCGCATAGGCGTTCCCGTGTTCCCCACTTCCCGCTTGCGGCACACCCAGTTTGAGGCTGGCTGACTGGCAGAGAGCCCCTGTGCCCGGGAGTAAGGAAGACCCTGTGCTGTAATTAGTGCTGTTCTGTGTGTCGCATTGCACAGCGCCCAGTCCACTGGCTCACTCCCCAGTGCCCAAAAGGCGGGAGCTGCGAGTGTAGGCCGGACCTCTCCTGTGGGAGACCCCAAGTCCTTGAGCCATCACCACTGTACACTGCATTCCGTATCTGCGTTAGGGAGCTGAGGGCAGGAGCAGAAGCCTGATGCTGACTTGGGCACTTAAACTACAGGGGCCGGTCAGATTGGGAGTGAGGCTGCTTAGGCACCGAGCTTTACCCCAGCTCCTGTGTGGTAACAATAGAGCAAACCAGGAGTCAGCAGAGATGGGAAACCTTGTGTCCTGAGCTAGCCCAGTGCCTTTTCTTTCTTAAAGATTTCTTTCTTTTATTTGAAAGCTAGTGTTGCAGAGAAAGGAGAGACGGAGTAGAACCCTCTGCTGATTCACTCCCCAGATGGCTGCAGTGGCTGGGTCTGGGCTGGGCCGGAGCCAGGAGCCTAGGGCTCCATCCCTGACTCCTATAGTGGTGGCAGGGGCCCAGCCACTCTGATGGTGCTTGGCTGCTTTCTCGGGAGCATTAGCAGGGAGCTGAATTGGAAGTGGAGCAAGTGAAACTCCAACCTGTGCTCATACGGGATGCTAGCGTGCCACAGTGCCAGCTCTAATTGAGCATCATTTCTTGAAAAAGACTTTTTTTTCCTTCATTGATTTTCTTGTGCATGATTGGCAAATCACATCAGGCCCGTGTGTGTGAATCCCTTCCTCGGTTCTCTTACCTGTTGGACTGGGTATTGTTGCTGATCTCACACAGGGATTGTTGGTTATGGGGGTGGGACACAGAATCAGGCAGAATCATTCTTCCATCTTTCCTTTTTCAAAATAGTGTTTAGCTATTTTAGGGCCTGTGCCATTCTATGTAGATTTTTAAAAAAAGATTTGTTTATTTTTATTGGAAAGGCGGATATACAGAGAGGAAGATCTTCCGTCTGATGGTTCACTCCCCAAGAGGCCGCAATGGCCGGTGCTGTGCCGATCCGAAGCCAGGAGCTAGGAGCTCTTCCAGGTCTCTCACTTGGTTGCAGGGTCCTAAAGCTTTGGGCCGTCCTTGACTGCTTTCTCAGGCCACAAACAGGGAGCTGGATGGGAGTGGGACTGCTGGGATTAGAACTGGCACCCATAAGGGATCCTGGCACGTTCAAGGTGAGGACTTTAACTGCTACCCTATTGCGCCAGGCCCTCTATGTAGGTTTTAGAATAAGGCTGTCTGTGTCTGCAGAAAGGATTTTGGTTAAGAGTTTCATTAGGGGACGGCCAGCGTGTTGGCTAATCCTGTGCCTGCAGCACTGACATCTCATGTGGGTACCTGCTTGAGTCTCGCTCCCCTTCTGGTTCAGCTCCATCCTCACATCCTGGAAAGCAATGGCAGATGACCCAAGGCCTTGGAGCCCTGCTCCCAGGAGGTGGGAAGAAGCTCCTGGCTTCGTCACCTTTGCTGTGGCTGTAGCAGTCATTTGTGGAGTGAACCCGAGGCTGAAAAATCTTTTTGTCTCTCTCCCTGTAACTCTGACTTTCAAGGAAAATAAATGTTTTTATTAAAAGTTTTGTTAAACTTCTAAGTCAGTTTGGAGAGCATTTCCTCCCTGTGTGCGTTTGCTGTTTGAATCTGCACATTTTTTCATGCGTTTGGTTTCTCCATGTAGTGTTGGGATTTTTCAGCATGCTGATCCTATTATATAGGTTTTAAGTTTATTCCTGAGTATTTCGTGTTTGGGGGAGTGGCTGTGAATGGCAGTGGAAGAGTGTTTTTAATTTTGGGTTGCAATGTGTTGTTAATCTTGCGCCCCTTTGTCTTGTGTTTTGTGATCTTGCTCCACTCACCTATTTTGGGGCTTTTTTTTTTTTTTAATAAAATTGATTGCTTGGGGTTTTTCATGTAGACTGCCTTGCCATTGACAAACCCAGGTACCCCTCGCGTGCAGGCTAGAGCTTGAGCAGTGGTGACATGCTTGGCTTTCTGCTCCGGTGCAGGTTGAGACAGTCGCTGTATTCCTACGACATGGTGCTTGGATCTTGTCAAGGGCATGTACTGCAGCAGGCGGTGCTGGAATGGTTCCTCCTTGGTTTGGATATTGTGGTTTGTAGGCTTTACTTTTCAAATATTGAACAGCCTTGAATCCCTGGAATTAAATTCTACTTGGTCAAATTGTATAATTCTTTTCATACATTAACTTTAGTTCTTTGAGTTTTCTCACCTCCCTCCGTGTTAAGCTGTAGTACACTTCATTTGCTTTGCTATATTTTCATTTTTATTCAGGTCTATGTATTTTGAAAAAAAAATTTTTTTTTTTTTTTTTAAAGATTTATTTTTATTATTTTTTCATTGGAAAGGCGGATATACAGAGAGGAGAGACAGAGAGGAAGATCTTCCATCCGATGATTCACTCCCCAAGTGAGCGCAACGGGCCGATACTATGCCGTTCCGAAGCCAGGAGCCTCTTCCGGGTCTCCCACACGGGTGCAGGTTCCCAAAGCTTTGGGCTGTCCTCGACTGCTTTCCCAGGCCACAGGCAGGGAGCTGGAAGGGAAGCGGGGCTGCCGGGATTAGAACCGGCGCCCATATGGGATCCCGGGCGTGCAAGGTGAGGACCTTTAACCACTTGCGCCACCGCGCCGGGCCCGAAAAAAAAATTTTAAAGATTTATTTCTTTAGTTATTTTTATTGGAAAGTCAGATAGGCAGAGAGGAGGAGAGACAGAGAGGAAGATCTCCCATCCGATATTCACGCCCCAAGTGAGCGCCGATCCGGAGCCAGGAACCAGAAGCTTCCTCCAGGTCTCCCACGCGGGTGCAGGGTCCCAAGGCTTTGGGCCGTCCTCGACTGCTTTCCCAGGCCACAAGCAGGGAGCTGGATGGGAAGTGGAGCTGCCGGGATTAGGACTGGCGCCCATATGGGATCCTGGCACGGCATGCGAAAGGCAAAGACTTCAGCCGCTGGGCCGACCATTTACACTTAAGATGATTATTAACAAGTTAGGTCTGAAATTTGCCATTTTTATTGTTTTCTGTTTCTCGTTTCATGGGCTGTTTGAGCAGTTTTTAGGATTCTGTTTTGTCTTGGTAAGCTGCTGTGATGGTTATTCTGGGTGTTACAGCGGACTTGACGTGGGGGAACTCTTCTGTACGCTTGCTTCCTAGGACTTCGGCCCCGCCCTTTTTTAATTCCCACTTAATTTAAATATCTTCCTGAAAATGTTTCAGCTGGCCTTCAATTATGCTTGTTTGCACATAACATACAGTTAAGAAAACTGGGGTCGGGGGCGTTAGCTGTGCTGACTCCCTGTGCCTGCTGTTGACTCCTGCTTCCTTCTTTGGGATGGCACGTTCTGTCTGTTTCTTTAAGGGGACCCTCTGTCTCAGGTGTGTGATCACTGTTCTGCAGCTACTGCGATTTGTTTAGTGTTTTGAAGGATTTCAAATGTGAAGATAAGCCTTTACCTGCACCAGTCCCTGGGCTTCAACAGCTGCCTCGCTGGTTTGTCCACTGAGGAGTTTTGTCTTTGTTCAGTAAAATAAAAGCTCTTGCGGTGTGCCTGGAGTGTGTTAAAGACCAATACTTGGTTAGGAAAGGTAACGTCCTCATCCTGTGGGTGAGGAAGTAAAATATGGAACAAGTTAACAGCTTGTCTAAGAGCACAGCTTTTGTTTGTTCCATTAGGATGACTCCTGTGTTTCTCTTCTGATAGGAGTTGTAACAAATTCGAGGGAGCCTCCTGCTTTGTATCTAATCAGCCTTATGGATTTGTATTTGTATTTATTTGTTTATCTATTTTTCTTAGAAAGACAGATTTACAAAGAGGAGAGAGAGAGAGAGAGACAAAAATCTTCTGCCTACTGATTCACTCCCTAAGTGGCTGCAATGGTGGAAGCTGAGCCTATTCGAAGCCAGGAGCCAGGAGCTTCTTTTGGGTCTCCCATGTGGGTAGGGTCCCAAGGCTTTGGCCTGTCTCCTTTTGCTTTCCCAGACCACAGACAGGGAGTTGGATGGGAAGTGGAACAGCTGGGATACTAATTGGCACTCACATGGGATGCTGGTGTGTGCAAGGTGAGGACTTAGCAACTAGGCTACTGTGACGGGCCCTGATTTGTATTTAAAAGGCAGAACAACAGAGACAGAGATCTTCCCTCTGCTCAGTCACTCCCTCTCATGCCCATCAAAGCGAGGAAAGGCCCAGGACAGAGGAATGAGGAACTCGGTCTGGGTCCCAGGTGCGTGCAGGGGTCAAATGCCGTTCCAAGCTGCCTCCCCCCGGCAGTGCAGGAAGCTGGGGTTGGAAGTTGGGCCGTAGGACTTAGCCAGGTGCTCCCGGCGAGGGAGGCAGTCAGCCGGGGCGTCCTCGCTGCCGCCTGTCTCTGTCTGAGGATGCATCTTGCATCATTGGTGTTGCCATTTCTGTGGCTCTCCCATGGGGCACGTTTGTCCTGTTTGTGACAGGTAGTGCCTTGTCACCAGTGGTTCTGTTATCTTGATGAGGACGTTTTAACTTCCACTTCCGTAATTCTGCTTTTAGCTGTCAATCAACGTCTACGACTATAACTGCCACGTGGATCTCATCCGGCTGCTGCGGCTGGAGGGGGAGCTGAGCAGAGTGAGGACGGCCCGCCAGAAGATGAGCGAGATCTTCCCCCTGACTGAAGGTACCGGGACTTGGAATGCCTTTTTATTGGAAACTTGGAGCACTTTAAGATTTATTTATTTTTATTGGGAAGTGAGATTTACAGAGAAGAGAGAGGAAGATCTTCCACCACTGGTTTACTTCCCAAGTGGTCACGATGGCCAGAGCTGAGCTGATCTGAAGCCAGGAGCCAGGTCTCCCACACGGATGCAGGGTCCCAAGGCCCCAGGCAGGACTCAGGAGCTTTTTGTGGGTCTCGTGTTGGTAGCCAGGGCCCAGGTACTTAGGCCATCCTCTGCTGCTTTCCCAGGCCATAAGCAGATTGGAAATGGATCAGCTGAAACATGAACTGGCACCCCGATGGGGTGCTGGTGTTGGAGGGGGCACGTTCTTAGCCAGGTCTTTAACTGGCTGGGAGAGCTTACATAAGTTACGTAAACATTCGAGCTGTGGTCTTTCCGATACAATGAGGACAGCAGTAGTTTGTTTTGCAGTGTGTGACCCTCCATGCTATGAGGCATGTATCACTCCTTAGGAAGATGCCATCATTGTTAATATTACTGTCACATACTTTATAGGACTGTGGCAAAGATTAAATGAGAAAATATATGCAGTACTTAGTAGACTATAAAATGCCTGCAGGTATAAGCTGTTATGATTTTTGATTTTTAAAGATTTATGTATTTTTATTGGAAAGTCAGATATACGGAGAGGAGGAGAGACAGAAAGAAAGATCTTCCGTCCAACGATTCACTCCCTAAGTGACTGCAATGGCCAGTATTGCACTGATCTGAAGCCGGGAGCCAGAAGCTCTTGTGGGTCTCCCATACAGATTCAGGGTGCCAAGGCTTTGGGCCGTCCTCGACTGCTTTCCCAGGCCACAAGCAGAGAGCTGGATGGGAAGTGGGGCTTCCGGGATCAGAGCTGGTAACCACATGGGATTCTGGCGACCATGTGGGATCCTGGCGCGTTCAAGGCAAAGACTTCAGCCACTAGGCCACCACACCAGGCCCAAGCTGTTACGATTTTAATGACTTGATTTTTTTTAAGGGGAGTTTTGAGTGGGTGTGAACTAGGCTAGGCTTTGTGAGCTGGGTGAAGCTGCTGGGTGCTGATGTCGCCTGCAGGCGGCTGCTTCTGCCCGCCCTGGGGGGAGGGGCAGTGAGGCAGGCTGTGCTGCTCTCTTCTAGAGCTCTGGCTGGAGTGGCTGCATGACGAGATCAACATGGCCCTGGACGGCCTGGACCGAGAGCATGTGTACGACCTCTTCGAGAAGGCCGTGAAGGATTACATGTGTGAGTCCCGGGCTGCGCTGGTCGGGTGGGGGCGCTTTGGTGTCAGATCAGTTTGCTGTGTGACTGGGCAAGGGTTGTGAGCACGGAAAGCTGTCGTCCAGCAGCTACAGACATGCAAGCGATGGTTCTCGTTGTCTTTGGGCTTCAGGCACGTGGTTGTAATATACAAGTGGGAAAAGTGCAGTTGAGGGGTGAGTACGCACAGGACCAGGTCATGAGGCGACAGCGGCGACAGCTGAGCCCTGTGCACTGCACAGAGGACCGTGATATTCCCAGCTGTAGTGTGTCACATGCATGACACCTGTGTCACACGTCTTGCTTCCCGATGGGAGCCGTGTTGGAAGGTGGCAGTTTTGGACCTCCACCTCTTGTGTGCTTGGTCGGGTCCCTCGGGCCTTCTGGGAGATCTGTCTGAGCCACTGAGAGCATGTGGTCATGCCCCCGAGCCTGAACAGTTTTTTAACACTACTTTCTTTTTCTCTCTCTTTTTTAGAAGATTTATTTATTTTTATCGGAAAGTCAGATATACAGAGGAGGAGAGACAGAGAGGAAGATCTTCTGTCCGTTGATTCACTCCCCAAGTGGCCACAATGGCCAGAGCTATGCCAATCTGAAGCCAGGAGCCAGGAACTTGTTCCGGGTCCCTTGTGTTGGTGCAGGGTCCCAGGACTTTGGGCCATCCTCCACTGCTTTCCCCAGGCCACAAGTAGGGAGCTGGATGGGAAGTGGGGCTGCCGGGACACAAATCGGCTCTTACATAGGATCCTGGCGTGTGCAAGGCGAGGACTTTAGTCACTGCTCTACCATACTGGGCCTGGGCCTGAACATTTGAAAATCAAGTCCTTTGTCTTTGAAGGAGTCTTGTGTGGGGACTGCGTACCTTTTCCTTGGCTGGAAAGCGAGCGACACACTCTGGTTTTGTTTGCCTGTTGTGGTCGATTTGAACTTGGTGCCCCTGAGCTGTGTGAAGTTCAAAATCTGCTTCATGCAGGCGGAATGTGAGGGTGTCCCCTCGCAACCCTGCTTTCCAACATCATTCTGGAAGCCATAATGAGGGGAGTAAGACAAGAAGACATTTGAGTCACTCAGTAATTGCATTCCTTGGTTTAGACCCTAGAGAGCTGAGAATTTGTATGTGCCCAGAAACTGCCACATGGATGTGGCAGCAACAGCTCTTTCATAATTGACCAAACTTGGGAGCAACTAAGATGGTGAGCAGGCAGATAGGTAGGGAAGCCCCTGGGACGTCTGCAGTGCAGTGTAGTTAAGTGCTGGAAAGCAGCGAGTTTCCCTACTGTTAAAAGACCTGGAGGAAATGTGACTGCGAGCTGTGGAGGAGCAGCGTGAAGGGCTACAGGCTGTGATTTCAGCTCTGTGACTGGAAAAGGTGGAGCTGTAGAGGCAGAAGACGGGGTTAGGAGGACTGCGAGGAGGCTCGGCAGGGGCTGCTCTGTGGGTCTGTCACGAGTGTACAGCGTCTGGAGAGAGCTCGCTGGGCTCTGGGTGGTGATGTGCCAGCCTGGCTTCCTTGTAACGAATGTACCGCTCCGGGATAGTGACAGTGGCCTAAGCGACGTCTCTGTATTTTCCACTCAACTTTACTGTGAATATGAAACTTTTCTAATTTTATTTTATTATTTACTAACTAAAAGGGTTTCATAGTATTTCTGCCTCTCTGTGACGTGCTGGGAGGAATATGATATGATGTACTGGAGTGTTAGCGAAGGCAGCCTTCTGTCGGGGGGCTTTGCCGCAGACCGTGTGGAAATGCCCTCACTTCACCGTGGTGGCCGAGAGCGTCGCGCCCAGCAGCCAACTAATTTCCACTTTTGCTTTGTAGCCCACTGGTGTCACCTCTGCGCGGCTAGAGAGCAGAGTAGCTAACAGACTGGCTCATTTTGAAGTGAAAAAGCAAGCCTCAGGAAAAGGCGTATATACTGCTTTACAAATTGACTTTTTTAACTTTTTAGTGTTTTTGTTTCAAAAAGCCTAGACTGTTGGCTTTTGCAGTTATTTTCAAATACTTGAAGTGTCTTGATAGGCAAAACGTGCACAGTAAGAACGAATCCGTTCAGATCATTGAGTTCATTGGTCTTGAACACACTGGGGTGTCTACATAAAAGGTTGAAAAAAAACAATCCAATGAAGTCATCTCCTTTTTGTTGAAATATTAAATAGAGACAAAGTATAGATAACTAATAACAAGGTTGGGGCATATATTAGCATTTTAGTGCAGCAAACTACCTCTGGCAGCTAAAGAGAAAAGGTATATCGTTCAGCTCACAGTTTTGGAGGTTCAGGCCCAGTGTCAGGTGACCCCACTGGTTCAGCCTGGGTGAGGATGGTGGAGGGCAGTGGTAAAGCACGTGGTGTGTCAGGAGGCCGAGAGGGGCCGGAGATGCCCGCCCTACCGACGTAAGGCCCTCCTGCCAGGCCCACTGCCCCTTCGCACAGCACCCCGCTGGGACCAGGCCCTTGCCTCCGTCCTTCAGGCAAACTGCAACGGAACTTTTAATTTCATTCTTGCATATTGATCTGAAAGCTTAAAAGTCTGTCAGGGTTTAAAAATTGAAAAATTCAAGGTTTAAAAATTTTTCCTGAACGATGACTCAGATTTGTAGATATTTTCATAGTGGTCTTTTACTAGGTCCCCGCAGTTTGAATAGATTTTGTGATGGTTAAAGCGCATGCCACTATGTGGCGAACACTGTGTCTACTCAGTAAGAGCTGGTTTGCTAGATACTCCTTGGAGCCCGCAGGTAGATGCCCAGGAGGCTTGGTGATGCACAAGTGAGTGCTTTTTTGGTGGGTACGTTTCTTGAGCATCAGTTGGGATATTTGGGTATTTTGTAATCCAAACTAATAGAAGATTTTTCTCCTTTTTAGGTCCCAACATTTGGCTAGAGTATGGCCAGTACTCAGTTGGTGGCATCGGTCAGAAAGGTGGCCTTGAGAAAGTGCGCTCCGTGTTTGAAAGGGCGCTCTCGTCCGTCGGCTTGCATGTGACCAAAGGGCTCGCGGTGTGGGAAGCCTACCGGGAGTTTGAGAATGCGATCGTGGAAGCTGCCCGGGTGAGTGAGCTGTGCCCGCCTCGGGGTGGGCAGGAGCTGCCCCGGAAGTCTTGTCTGCGAGGTGAGGGTGAGGGCCCACACAGGTCACGAAATGACCCTCACTGGTGCCTTCGCTGGCGAGCAGAAGATAAACAGAAGCGAGTAGACTTTGTGGAAGAGCAAGAATGATTTTTGTTTTAACTTTTTTTTTTTAACTTAAAAGCAGTTGATGCCATAAAGTTTTTTTTAATGATATTTAAAAATATGCTGCTTCATTTAAATAGTTCAGGTGAATGTCACTTGAAAAATTGTGCATTGGAACAGGCGTGATAGCATAGTGGCTAAAGTACTTACCTTACACGTGCTGGGATCCCATATGTGCGCTGGTTCATGTCCTGGTGGACCCCACTTCCATCCATTTCCCTACTGGTGGCCCTGGAAAGCAGTCAAGGACGGCCCAAAGCTTTGGGACCCTGCACCGCATGGGAGACCTGGAAGAAGCTCCTGGTTCCTGGCTTCAGAATGGCTCAGCTCTGTGGCAGCCACTTGAGGAGTGAACCAGCAGATGGAAGATCTTCCTTTCTGTCTCTCCTCCTCTCTGTAAATCTGCCTTTCCAATAAAAAGAAACGAATCTTTTTAAAAAAAAAAGAGGAAGAAAAATTGTGTATCATGTCCAGTTGTTCGTTTTAGGACATCTGACCCTGTGAAAATTGCTGCTTTTAGGCTGTGATTCATTGCAGCTGACTGTGTGTGTGCATCCATCTCCACTGTGTGTGTGCACTCGCACCAGCCTTGGTGGTTAGGCAGCTCGCTAGTAGACGGGCTGTTCTTAGTTAAGTAGCCCCAGGCTGCGGCAGCCTCACGGCCAGTCCGCTCAGCGCACTCTGATCTCACTGTCCTCACTGGGAGCCTGTAGACAGAGCCCAGGTGCTTGCTCCCTACAGAGAGCCTACCCCGGAAGTCAGTGTGAAGCAAGTGCCCTTACAAGACTTCATTTGTGTGACCCCTAGGTTCTGCCGCCTCAGTCATTTGGATGCATTTTGTTTGTATTTCTGCTCTCTCCAACATATACACTGCAGAGACAGAGGTAGTGGTTTTTGTTTGTTTTTTTTTTGTTTTTTTTTTGTTCTTTCCCCTAAGTTTTAGATTTTTTTTAAGTCAAAGATTTATTTATTTGAAAGGCAGAGTTACAGAGAGAAGGAGAGGGAGAGAGACAAGGGGGTTCTTCCATCCTCTATTTCACTCCCCAAATGGCCACAATGGCCAGAGCTGTACTGATCCAAAGCCAGGAGCCAGTAGCTTCTTCTGGGTCTCCTGTATGGATGCAGTCCCCAAGTCTTTGGGTTATTTTCCGCTGGTTTCCCAGGTGCGTTAGCAGGGAGCTGGATCGGAGCGTGGCTGGGACTCAAGCTGGTGCCTATATGGGATGCTGGTGCAGCAGGTGGCAGCTTTACATGCTGTACCACAGAGTTGGGCCTGTTAGTTTTTTTCTATTTTAAATTTTTTTTTAATTTGAAAGGCAGAATTTCTTTTTTGAAAATTTTATTTGAAAGGCAGAGTTACAGAGAGGAGAGAGACAAAGAGAAAAAAAGAGAGCTCTTCCACCTACTGGTTCTTTCCCCAGTGGCTGGAATGGCTAGAGCTAAATTGATCCAAAACCAGCAGCTCTTTCTGGGTCCCCCACGCGGGTGCAGGGTCAAGGTGCAGGATCCCAAGGCTTTGGGCTGTCCTCCACTGCTTTCCCAGTTCACAAGCAGAGAACTGGATGGGAAGTGGAGCAGCCAGGATATGAACCTATGCTCATATGGGATGCTGCTGCTTGCAGGTTGAGGATTAGCCAATTGAGGCATCACTCCTGGGCCCCCACATTTTTCTTTATATCTTCTCAACCTTTGGCAGGATCCAGTCATACCTAAGAGGTCATAGTCAGGTTTTGTTTTGAGCTTGAGCTGAAAATTTGTTGAGGTGCTTTTGAAGTAGAAGAGCAAGAGTTTGTCATTTACTGCCGATTTGCTTCTTTAGCCCGTGACTGGCTTCCTTTCCCCTTCTGACCGGGAACAAACCTTTGATTCACAGCTTGAAAAAGTCCACAGTCTCTTCCGGCGACAGCTGGCGATCCCACTCTATGGTAAGAGAAACAGCTCTCAGTGTGTTTCCTTTGCTTCGAGGTGTGTCCTGGGCCGGGTCCCCCCAGCAGCCCTTGGGGCCAGCAGGGCTGCTGCGCGCACCTTCGTGCTGGACAAAGCCTTCAGTAAGAACGCAGCTTGAGCTCTGAGTGCCCAGGGGGATAGGGAGGGTCCCAGGCGGGACTGGCTGCCCGACTGCTGTGAGACCTCTTCATCGGAAGGAGGGAGATGGCGTCTTGGGAGCTGATGGGGAAGCCTTCCTGAGTAATGTTCATGGCACGGGTGTTTTCTCTGAGGAGTAACTTCTGTGATGGAGTGGGCTTTCATTCCTCCTTCCGTGGGGTGATAAGGTTTGGAAGGATGGTTGTTTAGAAATGTTTATATTTGAATTTCTTGGGGCTTTTTGGATGAGTGTTTTTGGCAAGCTGAGCCTTTGTGGCTCTGCCCCGAGGACTTGGCATAGTGGGGGAGGAGTTTGGCACCTTCCTCTTGTCTGACTCAGGTGTGGTTGTGCAGTGAGTTCACCGGCAGTCTGTGAGCACTTCGCTTGACCCCAGGTGTTTTCTCTGCATTACATTGTTTATCTGGGGTCCATGTAATAAATGGTAAAAGGTCAAAATTGGATTGTGAGTGTGACCTTGACTCAGGCTGCCTGGGTTCAAAGCCTGGCTCTGCCATGCATTGTGGCCAAGCGATTTCACCTTCAGCCTCAGTTCCCACACTGCAGATGAGGGTCACGTGAGAAGCTCTCCTGAGGAGTTGTGGGAGTTAAGTGAGTTCATGGTGAGGCGGAATGGTGCCGATGGTTTCATTGATTCTTGATGAGTTAGCTGGTACAGTTGCCTGGGACATGATTTTAAAAAAACGTCCCAAGATCAGATTTCCAGACTCAGATCCCAGAACTCAGAGTTTGCTCAGGGGGAGCTGCCGTGGCCCAGGGCGAGGGAGGGGCTCGCAGCAGCTGAGTCGTGTGGCTGTGTCTCTCTGGGGGTTGATGCAGTGCGAGGGTGAGACCCACGGGGCCGGGCCGAATCTCTTTCCCTAGACATGGAGGCCACCTTTGCAGAGTATGAGGAGTGGTCGGAAGACCCCATCCCGGAGTCGGTGGTTCAGAGCTATCGCAAAGCTCTGCAGCAGTTGGAGAAATACAAGCCCTACGAGGAGGCGCTGGTGAGTGTTGGCTTCTCTCCCCGCTCGTCTGCTCGCGTTTCCCTGAGTCATAATTGCAAGCTGAGCATTATGTTTAAAGCCTGTTACTGTGAGCTATAGAGTGTTTAAGTGTATGCCTGCAGTTGGCATCGTGATAATGAACTGAATGTCCATGTACCCCACCACCCAGGCTGAGAAATTGCCAGTACCTTAGAAGTCTCCTTTGTGCCCCTGTCCGATTGCTTCCTCCTCCCTCTCGTGAGAGGTAATCACTTTCCTGACTTTTGTGATAATTGCTCCCTTGCCTTTCCTTACAGTTTTATATCCAGTGAACATAATCTTAATGAATATATGTTGAATACATTGATATTGCTTGCGTTTGTGCTAGTAAATACTGGGACCATACAGGTGATTTCTTTAGTTTAACGTGTCTGAGGGATTTGTTCGTGTTGCGGGTACTCCCAGCTTGCCTGTTGTCCCTGCTGCGGAGCTGTGTGGGATACCACACTGCCCATGGGCTTGCTGCTGCGTGCTGCCAGGGCCGAGCAGTGTTGTTCTGACCCTTCTTGGTACAAGAGAGAGGTTTCCCTGAAGTAGATAACTTGGGGATGAAGTTGCCGGGGTGTGGCTTGTTGCTAAGGAGTGGTCAGTGCTTCACCCCGAGAGCTGTCCACTCCGAGAGCCCTCACTGCGCGTGTCTGAGCGCTGACAGGCTTAGCCAATCCGGTGAGGTGGAAGCTGCAGTTTTAATTTGCATTTGTGTGTTTGCTGATGAAATAGAGCATCTCTTCACTTGATGGGTTATGTGGATCTGCTTTTTGTGCAATCTTTGGATCGTTGTTTTTTTCTTTTCATTTGTTTCTTTTCCAGTTGATTCTTGGGACTCGGCGCCTTACGCCTCTTGTTTGGTTGTATGTATTGCATCACCATTTCCCCCCGCTGCCCAGATCTGTGGTGGTCTTCTTTTTAAAATAGTCTCCTTTGCTGACTAGAATAGCTCTTCATTTGCTCTTCCCTGGCCTGTCACCCCGTGATTTACGTGCTTACTTGGGAAACCTTTGCGCAGAGGGCCTTAATATTCTCAGTTCTGTTCTCGGCTGAACAGTCTGTTGTTTCATTTTCCTACCCACAAGACAAGTTGCTGTGCCTCTGATTCTGGCAGTCCTGCCCTTCCCTCCCTAGTGGCCCTACCCCTTCACAGGCTGGCGGCTGTCTCAGGGCCAGTCTTGTTCCTGACGTGTATGGAACCATCCCAGCGACTGTAGTTCCTTGAGTAGACTTGAGTTTGGATTATAGAAGTCCCATCCACCTTGTGGGAGCTTTGGTTTTGTGTCTGTTTTTACAGATTTATTTATTTTTATTTGAAAGTCATATTTACAGAGAGAAGGAAAGACAGAGAGAAAGATCTTCCATCCACTGGATCACTCCCCAAGTAGCCACAGTGGCTGGATCTGAGCTGATCCGAAGCCAGGAGCTTCTTCCAGGTCTCCCATGCAGGTGCAGGGTCCCAAGGCTTTGGGCCGTCCTCAGCTGCCTTTCCATGTCACAAGCAGTTAGCTGGAAGGGAAGTGGAGCAGCTGGGGTACGAACCGATGCTCATATGGGATCCTGGTGCTTGCAAGGCAAGGACTTTAGCCACTAGGCTACCATACTGGGCCTGTTATTTTATTTTAAGATATGTTTTTATTGGTAAGGCAGATTTACAGAGATAGATAGATATATCTTTATCTGCTTCTATCCGATTTGGCTCAATCCCCAAAAATCTGTAACAGCTGGAGCTGAGTCAATCTGAAGCCAGGAACTTGTACCATGTCTCCCATGTAGATGCAGGAACCCAAGGGCTTGAGCCATCCTCAGCTGCTCTCCTGGTGTGTGAGTAAGTAGCTGGGTCTGCAGTGGGGCAGTCCAGGCACAAAGAGGGCTGCCACTTGCTTTGCTCCTCGCTGCTTCTTGTGTCTTGGCCCTTTCATTGGGAGTCACTTTTCTTTTGCTTAAAGCCTATGCCTGTTTTCCATGCCGGGGACTGGCTGATGACAGCAGTTCTTTTCTGGTCTGTCGGCAAAGGTCTTTGGGCTGCTCGGAAGCTGCGTTTTCAGGACGTAGCATTCCAGACTGACAGAGTCTGGCAGTTCTGCCTTCTGTGGGTGCCACTGGGAAGGAAGGCAGCGTTGTGCCTCTTGCTGTTTTGAAGGTGGTGGCAGTGGATTCTCTGGCTCTTGTTTGGGTTCCTGTTCTAGGATTTCATGGCAGTTAGCTCCAGGTGGGGTGTCTTTGTATGTATTGGTCGCTCTTGCTTTGGGGTTTCTCACCTGGGCTTCCGGTGTGTGTCTAGACATGCTGAGTCACAGCGCTGACCCTCGAGTTTGAATTCCAGCTCTGCTGCTGCTAGCTTAGCTTGGTCTTCATCTTACCCTCCCGTCTCAGTTGCTGCAAATCCAGGATGGCGAGGGTGTTGAAGGCTGTCCCAGAGGAGGGCTAGGAAGACCAAAGTTCACTTTTTCACATCACTCGCTACCTTCCCTTCACTTAGATTTTGTCTTTGGTACACCTTATTTCTTTGCCAGTTTTTGGTGATTTTTAAGAGATTGTGTCAGAGATGAATTAGTGGAGAACATGAAAGGTCACGCAGAACTGAATTTTTATTTTTATAGCAGGGCGGCCATCATCTTGCAGGATGATACATTGAAACAAAGAAAGAGTTTTTCTATTTTTATAAAAACATGGTGCAAGTGGTGGGGAAGCAGGTGGAGCACAGAACAGCTGAGTTTTCACAAGGTCAGCGTGGCCCTTTACAGTTCCAAGCGAAGGATAAGTAAGTAGCTCTTGTGGGAAGAAGGAATGGGGCAGCGTTCCAAAGGACAACAGAATGTCAGACTCTGGGGTCAGGTCCTTGCATGACTCCAGGCCTGTGCACAGCCTTGGTGTACACGGCGTGTCCTCTGCTTTACGTCTCTCTTGGCATGTCTGCCAGGTATCCGCATCAGGTTGTTCATGTGTGTAGCCCATCTATTTTGGTAGTTTTCAGGGGCTCAGGGCTCTGAAATGCGGGCTTGGTCTGAGCAGGAACACTCTGGCAGCCTGCCGTGCCCCCGGCCTGTTCCCCTTCTTTCTTGTGAATTGTGTGTTGTTCTCATTTCCCTTATGGGCTCAGTGGAGTGTGTCTGATGCAAACAGATTGTTTGGGTATTCTCTCTGAAATGAATTTTGAGTGTGTGCTTCTGGGTAGAAAACATTCAGCACAGCTTCCACCTCTTCCGGTTCCGGAACCCTGGAGGAAGGGGTCTTTGGGCCCGGAAACTTGAACTAATACGAGGCTCCTGATCATCCTAGCCTGGATGCGTTCGGTCCACTCTGGAGGCTAAGAAAGCGATGAGTGTTCTGGAAGGCTGCGTGGCCATGGCCATTGGCCAAGGTGTTGCTGCTCCAGTCAATTCCTGGTTGATGGCAAGTTAAGTTCCCTGGCCTAGGGATGGATTTAGCACAAGGTCTTCTGTGACTTGGCACGCAGAGGCTGTGGGCCAGACTGGAAGCCTCTCAGTGCACCCATCAAAGTGTAGTCGCTGGGACAGCTGTGCTTCTTGCCTTGGGTAGCTGACTCGCCAACAGTTACTTTTATACTGAAGATGTTTTGTGCTTCCACAGTATCCCGTAACTCAGTTCACCTTCCATGCGATTTCCTTGTGCTCCAGCTGCAAGCAGAGGCGCCGAGACTGGCAGAATATCAAGCGTACATCGACTTTGAGATGAAAATTGGTGATCCTGCTCGGATTCAGTTGATCTTTGAGCGTGCCCTGGTTGAAAACTGCCTCGTCCCAGACTTATGGATCCGTTACAGTCAGTACCTAGTAAGATAATTATCCTGATGTTACTTCATTTCCAATAAGGTCGAATCTAAAGTATGCCAGGGGTAGTGGCATGCTGTACCCTCTGCCTCTTTGCCAGGTCCTGTGGGTGGTTCTCTAGGGCTTTTTTTTTTTCCCTAAAGATTTCACTTGAAAGGCAGAGTTACAGAGAGAGAAAAAGACAAGAGTCACGCGTCTGCTGATTCACTCTCCACATGGTTGCAACAGCCAGAGCTAGGCTGATCCGAAGCCAGAAACAAAAAGCTTCTTCCACTTCTCCCATGTGGATGCAGGAGTCCAAGGCCTAGGCCATTTTCAACTGTTTTCCCAGTCTGTAAGCGGAGCTGGACCAGAAGTGGAACAGCTGGCACTTAAACCAGAGTCCATATGGAATGCTGGCACTGCAGGTGGACGATTAGGCTGTGTGCCATTGCATTGGCCCCTCTGTTAGTGCTTTAAGGCCATTGAGACGGACCGTTTGGCTCTGTGGAGGGCTTTGTCATGCAACAGTTGTGTTTTTTTTTTTTTTTTAGCTGTGGATCATGGAAAAATCAGCCAGATTGGTAAACAAACCCTTTAAACTCCTTCAGCTACCTTCATTAAGGACTCTTGTGTAATTTCGTGGCCTCTGATATCCACACTGCCCTCTGCCCTCTTCCATGTTGTTTTGGAGTAAGCCTGTCAGTCTTGTCTCTGCTGCACATTTCAGGGAGTATGTAAAAGAACCCTTATGCAGGGCCCAAGTGACCTGCACACACTGCGACTGGCTGATGTCTCCTGCGGCTGCTTCAGTCCGTGATTGTTCCTCTTCCCCTCCTCTCTTCCCTCTTTGTAAGATATCTTTGTTGAAGAAACCAGGTCACAAAAAATACTTCTACAGATTTATTTATTTTTATTGGAAAGTCAGATTTACAGAGAGGAGAGACAGAGAGAAAGATCTTCCATCTGCTGGTTCACTCCCCAAGTGGCCGCAAACATTAGAGCTGAGCTGATCTGAAGCCAGGAGCCAGGAGTTTTTTCCAGGTCTTCTACGCAGGCGCAGGGTCCCATCATTGACTGCTTTCCCATGCCACAAGCAGGGAGCAAGATGGGAAGTGGAGCATTTGGGACGCGAACTGGCACCCATATGGGATCCCAACACTTGCAAGGCAAGGATTTTAGCTACTAGGCTACTGCAAGGCCCACAGAAGATGCTTTTAAGGACTTTTTGTCCTTTGGTTGTGCCATTGGTGTCTGTGGGTGGTATAATCGTAATGATGAACATCGTCTCCTAATCCTGGGGCGCTTTGTCACAGGACCGGCAACTGAAGGTGAAGGATTTGGTTTTGTCTGTACATAGCCGTGCTGTCAGAAACTGCCCTTGGACTGTTGCCCTGTGGACTCGGTACCTCTTGGCCATGGAGAGACACGGAGTTGATCATCAAGTGATTTCTGGTGAGGCCATTATTTGGGACAAATGCTAAGTTTCCCTGTGTGAGAATAGGCTGTTATGGGTTTTGACAAAGCCATGTGGTGTTGCTTTGGGGGTTTCTCTGGGATGTTGAGTATTGGTGACAAAGGGCTACGTTGAGCCCTTAATGGTTTTGGCCTCTTGGAGCTTTTAAACGTTTTCTAAGACTTTGGGGTCTTTTCTCCGGTGATCCCTGGGCAGGCCCTTGTGGAGTGAGTTTTCTGGAGGATCCAGTGTGTGGGGTGCTCTGACAGTCTGTTCCACAGTTTTATGTCTTGTTGTTATGGTTATATAGAAGGTTAGCATTTAGTAGAGTTTGGTAACTTTATGTTTTGTTTGTGAATTGACACCCCATCTTGATTTTTCTCCAACTCCAGTGACCTTCGAGAAAGCTTTGAATGCCGGCTTCATCCAGGCCACTGATTATGTGGAGATATGGCAGGCCTACCTTGACTACCTGAGGCGGAGGGTTGATTTCAAGCAAGGTATTCAACTGCATGTGCTTCCTTTCAGAACAGAACTTTTAAAATATTTTGTGATGAGATGGCCCAGTTCCCTAAATATATGGAGTTTGGGTCAAGACCAGCTGTTTATAACTTTGCCTTCCCAGGAATTGTAACTATATGTGTCTTTAACAAGATGAACTTTGGATACTGAAGGAAGAAAATAGCCATATGTGTTTTGTCCTCTCCTGTAGTTTTTAAAATTTCCCTTGTCATTTTTCACTTCTTATTTTTAAAAAAAGATTAATTTATTTAATTTGAATGTTATAGAGATGGTCCACCTGCTTGTTCCTTCCCCAGATGATTGCAGTGACCAGGTCTGGGCCAGGCCAAAGCCAGGAGCCTGAAACTCGTTTGGGTCTCTCATGTGGGTGTCAGGGACCCACCTATTCATGCTGCTTTCCCGGGTGCATTGTTAGTGGCAAGCTAGAGTGAAGTAGAGCATCCAGGACTCTAACCCATCATTGCTCAAATGGGATGCTGGTTTGCAGGCAGCAGCTTAGTCAGCTGCACTGTAGTGCCAGCCCCCTTATGTTTCAGGTCTGTTCCTTTTACATATTGTACATAGTTCTTTAAATAGAACTGCTGTGTTTTTTTTAAGTCTTTGAACTCTTATAGGGCTCCCTGCTTTCCTCTTCTCCCAAACACTATTCTCCCCGTCTCCCCCCCCCCAAAAAAAAAAAAACCCAAAAAGAGGAACTGCCCTCTGTCCCAGTTTCTTTCTCCCCAGCTTTGTGTTTAGGCACCGGCAGGTTGATTTTTGTATTTGTCTCCTGTATGATGACACATTTGTGGTGGGGTCTCCTAGTGGTTTACTGGAGGGCATAGGGCATGCTTTGTGGCTTCATAGTCTTTCCCTGCCGTTTCTGACAGACTCCAGTAAAGAGCTGGAAGAGCTGCGCTCCACCTTCTCCCGGGCCTTGGAGCATCTGCAGCAGGAGGTGGAAGAGCGTGAGTCTGGCCCAGCCTCTTCCCTGCCCATTGCCTTGCCTGTTCCTGGTTCCTCTCCAGCCAGGGGCTGGCTGTCTCCAGGCCTTTTTTAACGTTGACTACTTCCCTTCTTGAAGGTTTCAATGAAAGTGGAGATCCAAGCTGCATGATTATGCAGAACTGGGCCAGGATTGAGGTAAATGCTTTTGATAATTCCATAGGTTTCAGCCATCTGTTTTTTGTTTTTAAACTTACAAAGTGATCAAATCTATTTAAAAGGTGAGTGATTCACAGACAAACATGGGCTATGTTCAGGAATAGAGTGAGCAAGGAAGGGAAAAAAGAGAGAGAGAGAGAGGAAGGAAGGGAGTATGTATCTTCTCTCCAGTATATCTGGAGGAAGAAGGAGTCAGCATCCTATTAAACCTACATGAAAATCGAGCCGGAATCCCAGGTTATGATGTGCAAGGTGCTGTTGTCTGCTACGGGAATTTCTGTCTTGGTGAAAATAGCCACCTCCAGCTAGTTCTTGTGCAGCAGTTGGCATAGGCCAGCTAGTTGTGTGTTGATTTTTCTCATCTTGCTCTCTGGTGCCCTTGTGGTACACCCTGTGGAATGCTGAGTGCCAGCACATTAGTGGGTACCTGGTGAATGAGGTAGACAGACTTGCTGTTGAAGGCGGACCATTGGCCAAATAATGAGTGCATGATGTAAGTTGTTGTCACTGGGCCAAGGCTGCCAGCACAGAGACACACAAGCCTGTCCTTGATCAAGTGAGAGTCAGGCTGAAGAAGCTGACATTTGTCAGGTCACTTCCTGGGTGGAGTGTCAGTGTGGCAAGAACCGAGGCTCAGAGACGGTAGGTGATTTGCCCAAGCCGAGGAGTTTATAGGAGGCAGCCAGCTTTTAATACAAGATTGACCTTTCTCTCTCCACATTGCCTCGCTAACACTGGTGGTTAGGCTTGATGAAGAATCACACAGCAGTGAGTGTGTATGGTGCTGTCTGTTCGCAGAGCTGAAGGCATGGTGTTGGCCTCTTGTCACAGTAGAAAGGCCAGGACAGTTGGCTTCTAGGGAGCCTGGGGAGTGTCCAGGGTTTGTGTAATGCCAGTGGGCCCAGGGGCTCCTCTTGTATGTCTGTCTGAAGGATGTTGAGGGCCAGGTACTGTGGGATGGGTGCTGTGACCGAAAGCTCAGGTCCTTTCTAACTCAACCTACCGCATTTTAGGCTCGACTGTGCAATAACATGCAGAAAGCTCGGGAACTCTGGGATAGCATCATGACCAAAGGAAATGCCAAGTATGCCAACATGTGGCTTGAATACTACAACCTAGAAAGGTAACAGCCTGTGGAGGGGGGTGGGAAGCAGAGCTTGTTAGGTATGCACCTGCCCTCAGTCCCAGCCGACTTCCTCTGGCTTGAGCTTGTGCCTCAGGCTGGCCTGCCTCTCTTCATGCTGGTGTCTGATTAATGGTGCATTCTTACTAGGCAAATGTGGGAGTAATATTTGTGTCAAAGGCTCTTACAGCCCTGTATTTCTTCTTCTTTCCTTTTTTTTTTTTTTTCCCACTTTTGGACCAGAATGTTTTAATTTTACTTTTTTTCTTTAATGTCTTTTTATGGAAAAGTGCAAAATCTTAAAAAAACAAAGTGGGAAAAGATTTCAGTTGGTTTGCAGAGACTGCCCCAGATGCACCCCATTTTAGGCTATGATCTTTGAGACTCTCTCATGCTCAAACTTTTAAAAAGTGATGGTGCAAAAATAGCATATGTGTAGTTGACATATATCATCACTTTTAAAAACTGAACAAGGATAGTGGGGATATTTATCAGATGGAGACTATACAAAGAATACAACCAGCTTAGATAAAACTGAGTAACTTAAAAACTTTATTTTTTAAGTTAAAAATGATAAATCCACAGCATGTAATATCAATAGTTTGTTTATTAATTTGGGAAAATTAATTAATTTGGGAAAATGTGTTTTCCAAACCCAGAATAACTGAGGGAGGAAAATGGCACGTTTTATGTCCTTGCAAATGTCTCCAGTCTGGCTCGGTGAGGACAGCTGAACCCCCCTGAGTTTCTGCCCTTGGTCTCTCGTGCTGTGCTGTCTGCACTGAAGAGAAGCTTGGTCTTACACAGAGAAGAGGTTAGGGAAGAGAGGGGGGTTTCAGAACTCCGTCCAGATTGATGTGGCTGTTCTTTCCTGCAGCAAAACTCAGCAAGTGTTTTTTTTTTTTTTTTTTAATAGTATTGAATTAATCTTTAAGGTTTATTTATTTTTATTGGAAAGGCAAATTTACAGAGAGAAGGAGATTCAGAAAGGAAGATCTTCTGTCCACTGGTTAACTCCCCAAGTAGTTGCAGTGGCTGAAACTGAGCTGATCTGAAGCAAGGAGCTTCTTCCATGTCTCCCATGTGGGCGCCTTTGGACTTTGGGCTGTCCTCTGCCACTTTCCCAGGACACAAGCAGGGAGCTAGATAGAAAGCAGAACAGCTGGGGCATGAACTGGCACCAATATGGGATCCTGGAACTTTGCAAAACGAGCATTTAGTCACTGAGCCATTATGCTGGGCCCAAGTGGTTATTTCTTAAAAGGATGCTTGCCATCTGGAGTCTGAAACTCTGTTACAGAGTTTTTCCCCAGCTGTCAGTGCTATCTGTTTGTCTGCTTTGTGCCTAGATCCTGTGTTGGGCATTGTTTTTGTTTGTTTGTTTTGCTTTGTTTGTTTGCCAAATCTGGATGGGTTGAGTTGTCTGCTCTTTCGGATGTTGACGTTGCATTGTACGGTAGCCCGAAGCCCCATTTGGTCATACCCTCCCTGATCTCAGCAGAGCGGTGTAAGCAGGAAGCTGTCCCACTCACAGTGCCAGATAGGAGCTTCTCAGAACTCCAGTTTTCACTTGCAACTTGAATTTTACCACCTGCAGTGAGTGACACAGGATGTCAGTAGTTCTGCATGAGGTTGCAGGCTCACTTGCCGGATACCCAGGGTCCCGGTGGCTTGTTATTCAGCCGTCCTTTCAAGTAGAAGTGGTGTTGCCTGAGAGAAGTGACTCGTTGAGCCTGCGACTACAGCGACGGTGTACACGTTTCTCTGCAACAGCCCCTGTGCTCGGTGCACAGAAGGCCCTGCGTGTATTTTTTTTTTTTTGTCACATGGTGTCTGGGAAAGATTTGCATTGCCTTGCCTGGGGCAGGGCCACTGTTGCCCTTGATGCACAGTGAACAAGCCCAGGGATGCTTGGGCACTGTTGGGAAGGAAGAGGCAGTGAGCGTCCATCTGTTACCTCACTCCTGACAATAGTTGGAGCTGAGCCAGGCTGAAGGCAGGAGCCCAGTGCTCCTCCTGGGTCTTCCCTGTGGAAGGTAGGATCCCAGTCACTTCAACCATCACCTGTTGCTTCTCAGATTGTACAATAGCAGGAAGTTGAGAGCAGAGCCAGGACTTGGATCCAGGTGCTCTGATAATGGGGCATGGATGTCTTTGCCAAATGTGCGGCCCCTCTGTCCCACCCCATCCCCTGCTGGCTGAAGGTGTCCCTGGAAGGTTGGGCTGGTGCATGAGTCATTCTTGCTGCTCCAGTTCTTTTCTGGGTACTCTAATGCGGATGACTTACTTCATGTTATGATCATCAGTGTACTTCTCGCTGTTGATGGAGACATGTAGCAGTTCCCTGGCTTAGTGATTCTCCCTGGGGTAGGACTGCGCAGTGGAGTCTCAGAGGGTTTCGTCAGGTTCATTCACCCCATCCAACCCCATGTTCCACATGTGATGCTGTGAAGACCAAAGGCCCAGGGATCGACTCCTGTCCTGGTGCATTTTCTAGTGGCAGTGAAGGGAATGGATGCCTTAGAGAGCCTTTTTTTGTGTTGGAAGGGGGAGGGTCTCCTCAGAAGTGTAAGTCATGGGAGAGCAGTTCCCTGTGAGAAGGTGGCCTCTGTCTGCCGCTGCCTTCTGCCGGGTGTCACAGCAACAACGACTGTTTGTTCTCTGCCCTAGGGCGCACGGGGACACCCAGCACTGCCGGAAGGCTCTGCACCGGGCCGTTCAGTGCACCAGCGACTACCCCGAGCACGTCTGTGACGTGCTGCTCACCATGGAGAGAACAGAAGGTGGGGCCCTCTGGGGTTGATGCAGAGGCACTGCCCTGCCTGTGTGCTGTGTCGTTAGATCTCCCAGAGTGCTCGCCAGGAGGAGTCTTGGTGGTGTTAGCCCGGGTTGCCTGAATTCCCTGTGGTCGGGGCTGGCATCTGTGCTGTAGGACACCTGGTGGCAGGCTTGGCCTATACACACTGGAGGCCAGGAGCCCCCACCCAGCCCTGTGTGATGACCCAGACTTTGCCAATGCCATTTGGTGGACAAGATGACCCAGTTGGGAGTCACTGCCGTGGCACAGCATGTGCACAGCAAAGGGACTCGGACAGGCACAGCCCACATCTTTGGTTGCGTATGTGTGCTGCCAGTTGCGTTCTAGAGCTTTCAGTGTTAAGCTGTAGAGCTAGAACCGTTAGAGCAAATGTGAATTTTTCAAATGCCCAAACTAAGAAGAGAAGGTCAAAGATTTATTGATCTGAAAGGCAGAGTGACAGAGAGATCTTCCATCTACTGGTTCACTCCTCAAATGGCTACAATAGCCAGGTTGGACCACACTGAAGTCCAGAGTCGGGAAGAGTCAGGAAGAGTCAGGAATGTGTCTGGAGTCTGGATGACCGGTAACCTGAGTACTGTCATTCTGCTTCCCAAGGGCATTAGCAGTTAGCTAACCAGAAGCTGTGCAGCTGTTATGCCAACTGGCATTCCGATAGGAAATGCATGTATCCCAGGCTGCAGCAGCTTAACTCACCAGCACGGCACCCACCCCCGAATTCAGTCTTAGTATGCATGTATCTTTTGCAGTAGAATGCTTTCATTAGCTTTGCCATTGAGAGCCCGTAATAGGTCATATTCGGTCTTGATAAACGTGAGGCTGACGTGAGTAGAATTCTCCTGGACCAGCTGTTGGTCCAGTCCTCATTGAGGAGAGAGAGCCCCTCCAGTGTGTGGGGAAGTTGAGTGTGTTTTAGGCTATGCCCTTCAAGGACAGAAAGAGGACTCGTTTTGCTTCTCTGTCCAGGTACTCTGGAAGACTGGGATATAGCTGTCCAGAAAACCGAGACCCGATTGGCGCGTGTGAATGAGCAGAGGATGAAGGTGATGGCGGTGTCTGTGTGAACTCCAAGCCTGTCTTGGTTGCCTCTTAGGCTGATTTGAAACTGACGGAACTTTCCCATATATGGGGTCTGTGGGTTGGGCCCTGGGAAGAGTCCTTCTTTGACTGACTTAGTGGAATGTGACCCCTGCTGCCTGTGAGGGCCCTGGTTGGTAGTGCCTCGCCGCTCTCTCTGGGTAAGTGGTGTTGAGGATGTTGCTGAAGGCCTCACGGGCAGCGTCCCAGCAAGCCCCCATGGCCCTGGCAGTGGGCTCTTGCCAGCAGGGTCTTCTGAGTCTTTCTCATTATCTCCTGTTTTTCATATGGGACTTGGGGTCCACTCTGTCCCCCATGAGTCAGGACAGTTAACCAAACTACTGCGTCCAGCCAACCATCCTCTTCCCGGTCATCAGGCTGCAGAGAAGGAAGCAGCCCTCGCCCAGCAGGAAGAGGAAAAGGCGGAACAGCGGAAGAAGGCCCGGGCTGAGAAGAAGGCGCTGAAGAAGAAGAAGAAGGCCAGAGGTGGCGACAAACGGCACGCCGAGGAGGATGACGAGAAGGAGTGGGGTGATGAGGACGAAGGTGAGCCACATGTGAGAGCGCCTGTCCTACAAAGGCGTGGGCTGAGGGAGGCGGCAGAAACGGGCCTCAGCTTTGTGTCATGAACTTTGTGCGAGGACCCCGACCTGGACCCATTCCTGCTCCCGAATCCTCAGGCCCAATTCCTGGTGTTCTTGGGATAGGAGGAGCCGGTTCAGGGTCTCGTGCTGCCTGGAGCTGTCCCTCTGTTGAATCTTGAATCTCCTTCAGTGTGGACCACTCCTTAGGTGTTCTTTGGCCCTGTGACTGTCCTGCTTTTCAGGCAGCCAGTGCTTCAGAGAGCACCTTCTGTGGGTAAAGCTGTGTGTCTTGGCCGGAGCTCCCTGGAGTGAGGCTGTGTCCTTCTCATTGTGTCCACCAGGTGGTGCACGATTGCAGCTTGTCATCGCTAGGGACTGGCATGTTTGTCACATGACCAGGATGGTGCTTGCTGTTTTCTCTGTTGTGAGGCTGCTTGTAGATGGAGGGTTGCGTCATTCTCTGAACCTAGGTCAGTGTTCTAGTCCTCAGGAAACTTCCAGATGATGGAATGCTATGATGCTATTCTGTGGGTTTGTGGATTCCTGTTTTTTTCAACAGTTATCTGTTACGGAAGTTACTTATGTTGATGCTGTATTTCTCTGATTTGTCTAGCAAGAGTCTCTTTGAGCTGTCATTGGCCCACAACATCCAGGGCCACCTGTGCTTTCTGTGGTTCAGCCCTCGATCCACCCCTTTTCCAAGGTTCCTCTGAGGGGTGACTGGTACAGAGGGTGCTGGAGGGCGCTGGGGGGCGCTGGAGGGCGCTGGAGGGCTCACGAGGGCTCACTGCTGTTGATCTGAGCCTCGTGGGTTGTTGGAGCTAGGGGGATTGTGTGTGTACGCGCATGCACACATTTGCATGTGTACATTGAAGCCACCAGTCCACATTGATTGCCAAGTTCCAGTTTGGCACTGCAGGGTTCATTCTGGTTTTCTTGCTTTTGCTCTTGGCAGTGTCCTTCTCTGCCTCCCTTATCCTTAGTATCCCTGTGCCATCATCCTCTGCACATGGGGCCCTTCCGGCTCTGCTTGGCCTCCACTGCCCAGCCCATGTGCTGCCTGTCACGGACACCTTCCTCGTCTGCTTGGTTTCCACACCTTCCCTAGGCCATCGCCCCCGTGTGCATCCCCTCTCCACTTGGGGTCCTGTGTCCTTTACCAGGTCCATCCCCTGCACCACACTGCTGCCCCCACCCTGCAGTGTCTGCCTCCCTTGGCGCCACTTCATGAGTGTGACTTGGTAGGATTTTCCAGTCATTTTGACTTTTTATCCACACAATTTCAAGGATGGGCAGATGGAGGCCTGATTTATATCAGCAGTCACTCAAGGTGGATTGTTTCTAGACACTGAAGAAGCACACTTCCTCCTGTGTCAGCCAGAGGGCAGTAGTAATGCAGCTGTCATTCAGTCAACCTTCCTCCCACACCTTGTGTGGGTCTTCAGAAATGGCTGAGGGCAGCACACTGCCCCTCAGCTCCAAGGTTAGCAGGGTAAGGCCCATGTGGCCGGGGCACAGTGCTGTGTCATCAGGATGGGGACAGACAGTTATGATGTAGGTGAAGGGAGGCTGTGGCTTGGCTAGGAGGACTCTGCAAGGGAAGCAGTTTGGCTTGTGGGGCTGGGAAGAGAGATTGAGAAGTAGGGCGGCAGAGATGGGGTTGCAGGGCAACCAGAGTCAATGAGGCATGCAGGCACACTTTTGTGAAGTGCAGGTGACAACAGAAGGCCAGTGACGGTGCTGGGCTTGCCAACCAGGCCCAGTCTGAGACAATGTTAAATGCTGTGTCCTTAGGCTCCAGGGGAAGGCAGGTTCTAGAAGCAGGACTTGCACCAGAGGCACTGTGCTGCCACTGTAGATGGCAGAGGGGTGGGTTGAAGAGAGCTGCCAGGCTCTCTGAAGGGTTGGGGACCCTGTGAAGAGGTTTAGAGAACACACCCTCCATGGGGGCTGCCTAGGGTGGGCCCTGGGGCACGTACGTCTCTCAGTTGTTTCTGCGTAGACTCCCAAGTCCCATCCCACCCTCCTGGCCCCGATCTGTGGGAGAGGGCGCTGAATTTGTCCTTTGAAATGTCAGATCTCATGCGATTAAGAGTGGATAAGGGGAGGGATGCTATTTCACTTACCCTCGTTGGGGGACAGATCAGGAGAATTTTCTGAGTCCCACAGGACACTGTCAGGGCCTGGCCATTTGTGGGAACGAGTGTGCCTAGGTGGTCTTTAACCATGGCTGCTTTTCTTTGGGAAACCTGCAGAGCAGCCTGCCAAGCGCAGGAAGGTGGAGAACAGCACCCCCTTGACCAGCGCCATACAGGATGGAGCCCAGGAAGCAGAGGCGGCTGGGACGCCTGTCGACGTTGACCCCCCTTCCAAGCAGAAGGAGAAGGCTGCCTCCCTGAAGAGGGACATGCCCAAGGTGCTCCACGACAGCAGCAAGGACAGTGTCACCGTCTTTGTCAGCAACCTGCCCTACAGCCTGGGGGAGCCTGACGAGAAGCTCAGGCCACTTTTTGAGGCCTGCGGGGAGGTGGCTGAGATCCGCCCCATCTTCAGCAACCGCGGGGACTTCCGGGGCTACTGCTACGTGGAGTTCAAAGAAGAGAAAGCTGCCCTGCAGGCACTGGAGTTGGACCGGAAGAGTGTGGAAGGGAGGCCAATGTTTGTTTCCCCCTGTGTGGATAAGAGCAAAAACCCCAATTTTAAGGTATGGTTCTGGACAAAATGCCTTTAGTGTGGTGTTGCTTCAGACAAATGAAACCCCTTGTTCTTGCAGCACTCATGTTTAGAGTATACAGCGAGGGGTTGTTTGTTATTACTATTTTAAATTTTAAAAGGCAGTGTTACCATCTTCCATCTGACTGTGATGGGCCAGGCTGAAGCCAGGGGCCTGAAACTCTTACCTTGTTTTCCCACATGGATGTGGGGACCCCAACCCCTTTGACCATCCTCTACTGCTTTCTCAGGCACATTAACAGGGAGCTGGATTAGAAGAGAAGCTATTGGGACTTGAACTGCTGGCCTTATGGAATGCTGGCATTGTAGGCAGTGGCTTAACTCACTGTCTGCAGTGCTAACCCTTCTTATACAGAGTTTGTTTGTTTAAGATTTATTTTACTTGGAAAGTCAAGACTTATAGCTAGTCCCCAAATTACTGCAGCAACAGGAACTGAGCTGATCCACAGTCAGGATCTGAGGCCTTTTCCAGGTTCTCCCACAGGGGTGTAGGGGCCTAAGTACCTGGGCCATCCTCCGCTGTTTGCCCCAGCTGGATTGGAAGTGGAGTACTTGGGACATGAACCAGCACCCATATGGGATGCCAGTACCACAGCTGGAGCATTGTTAGTTTACTAGGCCACTATGCCGGCCCCTATACAGAGGTTTTACACCCTGTTAGCTACTGAACTTCCACGGGAAGCAGGCCTGTTGAGCTGGTTGCTTGAGGTTTGACACAAGGCCTGGCCATTGCAAACTTGTATTAGGTGGCTCAGTAATGACAATAAAATTAGGAACTGTAACCACAACTATTTGTCACTGAGTGCTGAGTGGTGACCAGAGCTTGTGTTACCTCATTGGACTATCACCCTAGCCCTGGTGCCTGTTTCTGTTCCTGCCATTTCCGGAGGGGGTGGAAGAAGCCTCGAGAGGCCGAGTGATTTGTCCCTGTGTCTGTAGTAGCGAGTGTCTGAGCCCAGATCTGGGACTGGTCTGCCTGGACGATGCTCATGTGGGCAGTGCTCATGCGGGTTGGTGTGCCAGGCATGGCCAGAATAATGCCTCTTCCCTCCCTCCCTCCCTTGCTTCTTGTCTCCTTGTGTAGGTGTTCAGGTACAGCACCGCCCTGGAGAAACACAAGCTGTTCATCTCGGGCCTGCCTTTCTCCTGCACTAAAGAGGAGCTGGAGGACATCTGCAAGGCTCACGGCACTGTCAAGGACCTCAGGCTGGTCACCAACCGCGCTGGCAAACCCAAGGTCAGCGGGGGCACACAGTGCTTGCCGACTGCTGCTGGGAGGTTATCTGTTCTAGAGTGGTTCCTGGTTCACCTGCTGAGAAACTAGTAAACAAGTGCTAGTTTAGTGGGAAGGTGTACACACTGGCTCTACTTGGTGCAAAGGCAGTTGTTTTTTTCCATATTTGTTTGTATATTTGGAAAGCAATGGCAGAGATGGAGTCCGGTGGGGAGGGAGAGGTGTCTTTCATCCACTGGCTCATTTCCCAAATGTCCATATCAGCCAGCACAGTCTGTAGCTCCATCTAGGTCTGCCAAGTGCGTGGTGTGACTGAAGTGTTGGGTCCATTAATGTGCTGCCCCCTAGGCAGGGAGCTGGATTGAAAGTGCAGTGCAGCCTGAACTCAAACTGACCCTCGGATGTGGGATGCTGGTGTCCCAAGTGGTGGTATAATCTGTGACAGCACAACATGTGCCCACGTAGTCAGATGAAACTGTTTGCAGCTGTCTGTATTAAAAAGGAATAAGGCATTTAGAGAACAAGTTAATCATAAAGGCATAAGGGCCACAGTATGGACTCCTGGCTGGAGGGAGGGGAGGGGGACAGTTGTGGCCAGAGGTCTTCGGATGTTGGGGGGTCCCTCCTCTGTGGTTGCTTCTGCTCTGCCTGTGTCCTCATGGGGCACTTATTACCACATCCTCCCTTCTGGCCCACTCTCGCTCCCTTCTGCATTTCATGATTCTGGGTCACCTCTGAATCCTTTGCCTGCGGCAAGCCATCCACACAGGTGAAGAATCAAAGAGTGTGACATGAAGGAAGACGTTAGGGCTCCCTGGGCACCAGGGCTGCTCATGTGTGTGTGTGGCTCAGTCCACCTGCTCAGTTTCTCTGTTTTCACTTCAGGAGGAAGCACGAGGTGATGTGAACTTAGTCATTCACCGCAGTGGAGGACAGGGGTAGGGCGGGGAAGCTGGAGACAGGTGCAGCGGTCGGGAGGGAAGCCAGCTCTGCACCGGTCGTGGCTTTCCTGGGTGTACAGCAGCTAACCTGGCTCTCGTCATGCCTCTTTCAGGGCCTGGCCTATGTGGAGTATGAAAACGAATCCCAGGCATCGCAGGCTGTGATGAAGATGGACGGCATGACCATCAGAGAGAACGTCATCAAAGTGGCGATCAGCAACCCCCCTCAAAGGAAGGCTCCAGAGAAGCCGGAGGCCAGGAAAGCGCCGGGTGGCTCCCTGGTGCCGCGGCAGATATACGGAGCGTGAGTGTTCTGGCCAGTGGCTGTCCATGCAGGGGTAGACCAGGCCCCTCTGGGTCCGTTAATGAAATGAGGTGGGACCGACCATATGGCCTGCTCTTCTGGAAGTGAGCTCTGTGGTTCTGCTGGGCAAGTCCAGGAAGGAGCTCCCGGAAATGGGCCCTGCCTCTTGGTTGCCAGGACAAGCGTTCAGGTGTTTTGAAGGCAGGCATTATTTCCCCTTTTCTTTGCTTGCTGGTTACCATGGAGCCTGATGCCTGTGTTTGCTGGCCTAAGGCTGCAGTCCCTGCCTGATAGAGCAGGCTGCTGTGGGGAGGTTTCAAGAGGTGGTAGCTGATTTTCTCCGCCCCGACTGCTGCAATTACTAAGAGCTGGAACTGGCCAGTTAGTGAAGACTGCAAAGCTTACTGTAGTGGTTTTTAGGTGACAGACGGAATTACAAGGACAGGAATTTTCTGATGGGTTTTCATTCTCATCTTTTAACTTTACCTGATGTAAAGTGATCCTGGCTTATTTCCAGTTACCTTGGGGATGTGACTCATGGCTTTGAAGGGCTCATTCAGTGTTTGCTTTTCCAGGCGGGGGAAGGGCAGGACCCAGCTCTCTCTGCTGCCCCGAGCCCTGCAACGCCCAAGTGCTGCTGCTTCTCAGGCCGAGAACGGCCCTGGCCCACGTCCAGCTGCTGCCACCTCCGAGGCCACAGAGGCACCCAAGATGTCCAATGCTGATTTTGCCAAGTTGCTTCTCAGAAAGTGAATGGGACACTGCAACGGACAGGAAAGCCCTTTTCACTGGCCAGGCAGACCGTCTGCCATCCAGTGACACCCTGCGAGTGGAAGCGCCTGGCCCAGCGTCCACCCAGGACCACAGGGCCTCCTCTGGCTGGGGCCCAAGGGGAAGGTGTTGTGCTCCCTCACATTGAGGGCGACAGCAGAAGCGTGGTCTCCGCAGCGTGACCTGGGACATGGGTGTCTTCCAGGGCGAGGAGCAGGTGCACCCAGAGCAGCTCGGAGACCCACTTGTCGAAACGCTCTGGCCCTTTTTCTAAAGACACTTCTCTCATACCCCGCACAGCGTATGTGCCCGTCACTCTTTTAATTTTTAAAAGGTGTAATGGCAGATGCTAGTAATTCACCAGAACAGCCTATTTTAGTAACGGGTGGGAGTAGGGGAGGTCACGTAAAACATTAGATGAAGCTTTGTTCAAGGGCGCTGTGCGTTTTTCTATTATGTCTTTGTAAATGACACCTCAGCCTGTGGTTTTCTGTTTCCTAAAAGCAGAGTATCACTGTGTGTGTTTCGTACAGGCGGCTGTGTGCCACCTGCTGCGTGTGCCACCCGCTGCAGGCACTTCCTTTGCCTGGTGATTGGCTTTTTTTGTCTAAACTGAGTTTCAGCTCTTTGGTTTTGTTTAAACACCATGTCAAGTGCAAACTTAAATCCTCCCCATTTAGCTTTGTTTATTAAACCGAGGTTCTCATAAAACTTGTCGCTGAGTGGTGCTCAGGTGGACGGTCAGCAGGGCTGTCGTTTGAACAAGGCGCACCATGCCGTAGCTGTAAATAGAACTTTTCTAAGTCACATCTTGTGGTCACTTTGATTTACATCATTTCAACTGTGATGGGTCTTCGGTTTTTACCCTCAGTCAGCAGCCATTTGGTACTTCAGTTTTTCAATTTTTTTGTATTGTTTTTATTGTACTTTTATTGCTTTGGAAGCAGCATTGTCAGTTTCAGTAAGGAGACCAACATTCTAAAGGCACTGGAGAAAGAAATCGCGATCTTTTTAAACAGTATTTTCTTTTATTTTTAAAAAGATTTACTTATTTTTATTGAAAAGGCAGATTTACAAAGAGGAGAGACAGATCTTCTGTCCACTGATACATTACCCAAGCGACTGCAATGGCTGGAGCTAAGCTGATCTGAAGCCAGGAGCCTGGAGCCTCTTCCAGGTCTCCCATGTGGGTGCAGGGTCCCAAGGTCTTGGGCTGTCCTCGACTGCTTTCTCAGGCTACAAGCAGGGAGCTGGATGGGAAATAGAACATCCGGGAATAGAACTGGCGCTCATATGGGATGCCCAGCACATGCAAGGCGAGTTGCAATAGCCACTAGGTTATTGTGCCATGCCATTAAACAGTACTAAATAAGTAGAGAGAGAGAGAGAGAGCTCCTGTCTGTTAACTTTTCTCCGTCAATGCCCACAGTGGCTGCTGGGGCGGGGCTGGGACTGAAGCTTGATCTGCGACTACAGTCCAGGTCTCCCATGTGGGTGGGTGGTCAGGAGCTCAGGCACTTGAGCCATCACTTGCTGTTTCCCCAGAGTCTACATCAGCATGAGGCTGGAGTCAGTAGCCGGGTTCTCTGATGTGGCACACGAGCACCTTAACTGCTAGGTGACCACCTGCATCCCCGGGGACTGCTTCTTTATATGTATTGCAAGTTGGTTCTCCATTTGTCTGTTTTTAGTTCTGTCCCCCAGAATTTTTAGCATAAAAAGCAGACAATAGTAGCAATACCAGCTCTTGAGTTGCCCACCGTCAGGTCATCAGCATTTCGCAGCTCACACTCGCCTCTCTTTGCTTGCCTCCTGCCTCTTCTATGACAGGGACCACAGCACTTACCCATAAGTGCTGGAGCTGATGTTCCTCAGGTAAGGACACAGGCCGTAGCTTATCAGCTGTCCCAGTCAGTGCTAGCATCCCTGCCTGTAAATTATTGATTGGTGAGCCTCCTTCCTCTTGTAAAATTTAAGTTCTCACTCGCCTTTTGTTCACACGTTTTCAGGAACAACCTGTAAGTGGAGCGAGAGAAGCGGCTCTGGGTGCGCATGGGGAGCCCTGGTGGCTGGGGACCCGACCCTGGAAAAGCCTGCAATGTTCCTGCTGCTATAGGGCATAGCAAGGCTTTCCTCTGTGCATCCTGGTCATCCTTTGGTTCTGTATCTGTTGGCCAGCTTGTTCCTCAGGGAATCTTTGAAGGCTCCAGCAGGACCCAGTTTTGGTTGAGGGGGTTGACTGTTGTGGAAATGGAGCTCCCGGGATGGAGGCACAGGCTCCTCTCCCTTCCTTAAAACCTGAGGATAAACACCCAGTGGTTATCTCTGTAGCTAGTTGGGTCTTTGTAGAACAGGCACTCATCCCTGCCAACCTTTCTCAAGTTTACCCAACTAGTTCCATCTTGTTTGCCTGTCGAAGTTACCAGGGGAGGATCTGTTCAGCCTATGAGACATCTTGAATAAAGCAGCAAAGTCTGACATTTATGTAATAAAATACTTTATTAGGACCAGTATTATGTTAAAATAACACCCTTCACAAATAACTAAAGTGCAAATTCTGTGGTACAAAGCAAATACTTGTGTCAGACTTCAATTGTCTGCTTACAAAACTAAAGCAGGATATAGTAAAGGTTTAAGAAATACCTGCGGCAGCATCAAAACAGCAAAAACATTTCTTAGAAAGTCTTGGCTATCACTTGGAGCTACTTCCTACCCCTCTTCAACTTTTCTTAACCTTCCAGAAAAGTACTCTGCAATCTATATGACTGCATAACTGCACAGATGCTTGCTCTATCAGAGTGGTGCCCTTGGCAGCTGAAGTCGGAGGCAGCTCCGTACAGCGCCCAACGCGTGGACACTGGCAGCCCAGCACCCAGCATCGCCAGTCCTCTCCTGGGTATAGCCCCGTGGTCCTGACTGGCAGTAGCTGTGTGTATCAAAAGCCAAGGTTTATTCTGCTTCCCAAGATGACAACTTGGGAATTTGGCCATATCACATTGTACCATTTTACAAGATGCTAGGAAAATAAGGCCACTCCTGAGGCGCTGTGGGAGGGAAGGCAGGACATGACACACAGGTAAAGCGACACGGCCAAAGGGACAAGTGCTGCTTGCAAAGTGCTTGGTTCAGTGGAAGCTGACGCTGAAATGTTGCCCACCTCATGCCATCTGGTCTTGGCTGGGCTGCCTGGAGAGTGAAGGACAGACACACCCACTTGCATAGTGCCCAGGTTCCGGCCCGGTACTGCTGTGGGGTGGCAAACCCAGAGAACCCTCAGAAAAACACGATCTGAGTGGCTGTCAGGAAAGTGGGAAAGACAAAAATGTAAAGTTAACCTGGCGATTTTCATAGGAAAGAAAATCTCAATAAAGGAAAACAATAGCTTCTGGTGTTCAGATTGGCAAGCTAAACTGAAATAGTGCTCAGGGGCTTCTTGAAAACAAGCAGAAAATGTCAGAGCAAAACCTCTGTGAAAGGAGCTTATAACCTTCTCACCCCGATCCAGGTTCTCCCACTGACAAGGAGTGCTCACTTCCCAGTGAAAGCCACACCTCTCAGACCTTGTCCCTCTCCTCCATCTTAGTGCAAATTCTGCTCCAGAACCCAGGTTCTGGTCCCATAGGCGCATCGTCCCCTCGGAAGTGTGCTGGGAAAAATCAGCAGGCCAGGGGCCGCGTGACTGGTAATGGGAAAGACAATAAATAACGGCTGAATTATAAATTATCTTGAAGACAAGCCTTAATAATTTAGTTTTTCCATTTTTACCTTAAAAAAAAAAGTTTGGAGGTAAAGACTGTTTAGGGACCCCTCTTGCTTTGGGAAGTGCTGAGGGAGAAACAGACAGGGTCAGGGCTTCACAGGAAGCGTCTCCTTCAACCTAGAGTGATTGGGCTTGGCTTCCGGCAGCGCCACCGCATGCTCCGTTGTAGCGAACAGGAGCGTGTCCAGCATGGTCTCGGTGCACTGGGCAACAAAGCGGATGAAGGGCCTCACGTCGCCCTCATTGGCCACTTCCAGCACATGATAGTACTCGGATCTCTGCTCCTTGCGGATGGTGATGGGAGGGTAGCCCGCTTGCATGAGAATGAGGTTCATGAGCAGGCGTGAGGTCCTGCCGTTGCCATCGATGAAGGGGTGGATGTAGACAAGCTTGTAGTGGGCGAGAGCGGCAAACTCCACTGGGTGCAGGTGAGTGGCATCCTCAGAGTTGAGCCACTGGATGAACTCCTCCATCTGCTTTTCCACTTCCTGGGGGTGGGGAGGGATGTGGTGGCCCACCAGCACCTGCGTTGTCCGAAAACGGCCGGCTTCCACAGGATCTACGTACCCCAGCACCCGCCGGTGGATCTCCCGCACGTCGGTGATGGTGACAGAGCCTATACGGGACACCAGTGTGGTGTTGATGTACTTCATGGCTGCGTGCAGGCCGATGACCTCGTTCTGCTCCTCCAGGCTCTTCCCTGGCACAGCATAGCGGGTCTCCAGGATGTGCCTGATCTCTGAGAGGGTGAGGGTATTGCCCTCGATGGCGACCGTGTGGTAGATGTGGTGATAGTACGTCTCCTCCATGACCCTGCGCAGGGCCGAGCTACCCTTGGGGATGGCTGTGACCTTCTTGACCTTGCTGTCGATGATGCTGAAGTACCTCTGGTCGATCTCCTCCACCAGGGGCAGCGTACGGTCTCTGTGCACCAGTGCCTTCTCGTGGTAGGGTGCGATGGTCAGTGCCCGGGTGTACAGGTAATCTGCCTGGATGATGTCCTTGTCTTCCTCCGAGAAGATGCCGAACTCGGTGAGCGCATCTACCGAGTCTGGGTCCATTTTGAGCGCATGCAGGAACAGTTTGTGGGCTTTATCCCGCTTGCCATGGCGTTTCATTTCCAGGGCCTGGTTCAAGGCTGCTCTGGCCTCCAACTTAGCAGCTGCAAAAAGAGGCCAAGAGGTGTTGTCAGGGAGGGCAGGGTGCGGCCAGGAAGCTCACAGGAGTGTCACCTGAGCAGGGGTCCCACCACAGGTGGTCCTGCATGCATGTCCTCCCCAGCTCCCTGAGGGGAGGTGCTGGTCCTGGTCCATGTGTGCTCAGGGCTCCCTTGTCTGCTGCCCTGGTGTGGAAAGGCCCAGGTGAACAGCTGCCTTTCTTTCTGGCCCAGCTCCCACAGGAGTCGCTCCCGTTGCTGCTCCAGCTCTCCCCGTTCTGTGATGCCCATCCTGGCCAGTGTTAACAGTTGTCCGCTCCTGCTAGGCCCCTGGGAACCTCACAGCAGCCCTGCCTGCTCTGCTTTCAACCCAGTGGTTCCACCTGGCCAGCTGGGGGACAGGTGGCACAATCTGGAGGCATGCTTGGTTGCCACACTTGGGGGGGGGTATGCCACTGGCATCGGGTCAGGAGAGAGGTAGGGATGCCACTCCATACCCCCTAGGGCACGTTGACCTTCCTTGGGCGAAGGGTGAGGGTCTGAGGCCCTCCTTTCTTGGCCTCTACTGCACTTTACTTCCTCTAATGTCTCCAGGATCTCCCTCTCCATGCCCTCCTGGTGTGCTCGCACAGCCCTCTGCGCCTCACTCTGACCATGGTTTGCTCTAATCCCGTTGTAGGTTGTCCAGGCAGGCTGGGGGGGTGGTCTCAGGACCCAGAAGATCCTCTAGACAAAAAACAGCAGTGACTTTCAAAGCCCTGGGGACACACTGCCCAGCTGTCTTACCTGGGGAAGCCTTGGTCTTGAGCACCAGCAGCCCAGCATCCCTGGAGGAGACACTGAGCTCAGTGGACGGACTCGTGTGCTTGGTGACCACCTGCTGTGCTGTGTCCAGCTGGCTCCTGAGCAGGTAGAAGCCTTTGAGTATGGCCAGACACTGCTCCTCGACGGCCCCCAGTGGCAGCAACAGGGCCAGCAGGGACCCCAGCACTGTGCTGAGCAGCACCAGCCATAGGAAGCGGCTCCAGACCGAGACCCATTTTGGTTCTGTCGCAGCCATCAACGAAGCCATGGGCAGGAGCGTCATCTGGACTCCGGGAGGGGTCCCTTGTACATGTCCACAGCTGAGACGGTGGGATCTGCAAGGAGCCGAGGCTCATAGGAAGAGAGGCAGGGAAGTGGACACGTTCAGGGTGGTGCAGCTTTAGCGGCTAGGGGAATGGCGCGGGCTCCTCCTCTCACCTCTGTTCGCTGCAGATCTGGGGTGGGGGAGAAAGGTTAAGGAGTTGGGTGGGGGGAAGAGTAGGATCGTGCCGAAAATAATGGCCTGTCTCAGGCAAGTGGGGCTCTGAGAAGCCATGCCGACACCATTCCCCACTTCCGGGTTTCTTGAACACTTGATAGGTGCTAGACCCTGTGCTAAGCATTCACCCAGCCCTTCACGTGGACTAGGTCTCCCCTAGCCTTCAACAGCAACTCAAAGAGCCGGCGTGAGAGCCCCCCTACTCCTCAGATGAGAAAACAGGCAATCCCACCTGCCCAGAAACATCCAGTGAACAGTACCCCCCTATACCACCACAGATGCCCTGAACAGCCTCTGAATGCCCATTGTGAGGGAGGGAGATGTACCCCTAGACTGGCTCCAGCACCCCCTTGTCTCATTCCTTGGTGAATACAACTATTTATGCCACCTGGGTGCTGCTTTCTGTCCTCACCCCAATGCCCACCAAGCCACAATGCCCTCAGTGCTGATTCCCTGGCTGGCCCAACTCTGTCCAGCCAGGATGTGAAAGGTTGGCCAGCTGAATGTGTTCCTTGGAGGGGAGGAGTGGCTGGCCGCGTGAGCAGAGGGGCCAGGTATGCAAGTGCCATCATGCTAACAATAAGCATTTATTGGGCAACAATTATGGTAGCTAACAGCTTGTCGCACGCTATCTCCCCGAGTCCTCATGCCTGCCCTGTCGGAGGGGCAGCTATGGCTAACGCCATGTCACACGGAGGGAGGAGACCAGGCACACCAGATGACAGCTGGGGCGAAGGTCCTCGGAGGTACACAGTGGTACAGCAGCATGAGTCCAGAGACCCTGCCACCCTACAGTCTTAACCGCTTCCTGAGTACTGAGTAGCTAGCGATCGGGGCACCTGCTCGGGGCTCAGCCTCTTGGGGGAACCCGCTGTGGTCCCACAGCCTGCTCTAGCCGAGTGCAGGGGGGCGTTCTACGTGGGCCTCCTGAAGGACAGGGTCCTCTACCGACTGCAAAGGCCAGCCAGGAGTCCTCTGCTGCCAGGGGGGCGTGCATTCTGGGAGACGCGAGTCTCAAAATAGGAAACCAGGGCCAGATGGCCTCTGGAGGTCATTTTGCGGGAGCCGCTCCTATGCGAATCCCGCCCAGGGCTCGCGGCTGTGCAGCAACCCTCCCCTGGCTCGCTCCTCCCGGGCCCTAAAGGTTCTCCCAGCCCTCACCGCTCGCGGCTCGGATAGGGCCTTCCCGGCGGCTGATGAGCGATCGCACTCCGCGGGGTCGTCAGTTCCCGGGACCTTCTTCGCCGCCGGCCTTTTGGCCCCGCCCTTGGAGACTCATCATTGGACGAGTCCTCACCTTGGTCGAGGCCGATTGGCTTTCCTCAATTGTCCGTCCCTCGCATTTCCGGGTTCCAGAGTCCGCGTCGACTTGCCCGGGAGAGTCTCGCCGTGGGCCACTCCTATTGGCTGTCTCTGGTGTTGTTCTCGTGCCGGCAACAGCCAATGAGCAGCGTGAGGGGCGGGGCCGAGGTCGCCCGCGGGAGAATTGCTTGTGGGAGAGACGCGGCCGGCGTGGCGTCTGTGTGAGGGTCTGCTGCTGCTCCCTGGTGTCCGTGCCCAGGCTCCAGGGCCCCGGGCCTCGGGGCAGCCGATCTGTGCCACACTTCCCTCAGGAATAGGGTTAAGTCGAGCTCACTGCCCCGTGTGCCGCCTTCTTTCCCCTTCCTCCCACACGTGTGCCTTTTGGAGACGGCCCGGCTGGCTTTCTTCGGAGAGAGAGGCGGAAGTTTTTTCCCCTGGAAGCTGAGAGCCAAGCTTCACGTTTAAATCCACAGACACGGAGGGCAAACGTTTAAGGAACAATAAGCTGTGAGCGCCCCGGAGCCTATTCTCTCACGGACACCTGCGGCCTCCGCAACCCACCCGGGGCTTCGGGGTCCCAGTCAGATGGACACGCTTTGTTCCTCACGTTTGGGATTCGGAGGGCTGGGCCCTCCACCACGCGCCTTCCCCTCGGAGGCAGTAAGTACCAGGCAGGGGAAGAGCCGGGCAACCACAGAGAGAGAGAGAGAGAGAGGAGCGGGGATCTTCCACCCACTGGTTCACTTCCCAACAAGCAGCGCTGGGCCACCGTCAGAAGCTGGTCACTCAATCCAGACCCCCATTACTGCCCCGCTCCCTCCTCGGGGCTGCATCAGCAGGCATTCTAAACCGGTCGTTTGCTTGCCATGCCCCAGATTGCCTGGCTTTTAAGGCGGCATTCTCTCACTGCTGCTTGGGCGCCAAAACTTTTGAAATGAGTGAAGCCCGTGATAAGAAGTACTCGTGAATACAGCTGCCTAGGTGTGAGACAGTAGGGAGAGGTGGGGACTGTGGCACAGTTAAGAACCCATGCCTTGTCTAAAGCGGCTTGCGGGCTCTTGGCTCAAGGCCACATTTATTAAGCTGGGATGGATGCAGTTCAGGAACTCCCCAGGTACTCAAAAGAAAGGTGAGATGCAGGCGTTTTAAGCAAAATCTCTTAGATGTCTAAACAGTTGGGGTGTCTGCCTGCTGGTGACAGAGGGCTGCCGCGTTCTAATGCCCGTTTGGGGCTTTTTTGAGCTGGCAGGTTGGGTGGTCCAGAGGCTCACTCGCTGTTGTGTGTGGACACCAGGGGGCAGCAGCTCGCCTGACATCTCTTCCCTCCTTCAATCCCCCTTTCAGTGTCTTTCAGCTCTGTTGAATGCGCAAAATATGGTCCCTGAAGCGATATTGAAAAGTTGGCGTTCTCTATCTTAAACGTTCTCTATTAGGTGGAAATTGCCTCCCTGTGTCCCGTGGAGGAACTTTCTAAAAGCTTACCTTGACACATGTCAGAGAACCTGGAAAGCAGCTGCTTGAGAAAAGCAACCATTCTGCAAAGCCATACAAAAAACAATTCAGCCCTCCTGTGTCTTTAAGCAGCAGCAGGCCAGGGCTTACTTGCTCTCAGAGGCAGATCCGGCTGCTTAAGAGAAGCCAAACCCTGCACTTGAAGCCATATTGGCATGCTTGGCCTTGGAACTGGATGGCTCAATTTCCTTCAATGGAAAAATCCTCCTTCCTCTTCTTATGCTCCTCACTCCCAGCCTCTTTGAAGCCCCTAACCTGCTTGGCTTTTTTTTTTTTAGTTAAAGACAGATTTACACAGAGAATTTACATCGCCTCTTCTACTCCCCTAATGGCTGCAATGGCTTGAAGCTGAGCCAATCAAAAACAGAGGTCACTTACTGCTGCCTAAAAATATCATCATGGACATGAAAACTGGCTCACTTACTTGGTCGCTGTGGTCCATGTCAGCCTTTAAAAGATGTGGCTATCACCTCCTCCTCCTGCCTGCAAAATACAAGAAACCCCCTTGGCAGCCCAGGCTCTCATCTTTTCTCATCTTTTTTTTTTTTTTAAATCTAATCTGTATTTACTTTTATTGGAATGTCAGATTTACAGAGAAGGAAAGACAAAGATCTTCCATCTGCTGGTTCACTCCCCAAGCTGCCACAATGGCTGGAGCTGAGCTGATCTGAAGCCAGGAGCCCAGAGCCTCTTCCGGGTCACCCACATGGGTACAGGGTCCCAAGGCTTTGGGCCATCCTCAACTGTTTTCCCAGGTCATAAGTAGGGAGCTGAGGAAGGGAAGTAGAGCATTCCAGACATGGTGCCAGTGCATGGATCATGGGATCCCAGTGCATGCAAGACGAGGACTTGAGCCACTAGGCTACTCTGCTGGTCCTCCAGGCTCCCATCTTGGGACTGTAACTGGGGATCATCCTAATCCCACTTGCCTTCTCGTTCCCCTTCATGTCCATTTTGCTAAGGTTCCTTAAGGTGGCCTAGAAATTTTGCCAAACCTTCACCAACTGCCTGTTGCTGCTGTGCCTCAGCTATCCCTTTGGGGAGAACGTTTTGCAGTGGTTGCAAGAATTGCAATGAGGGTCACTCAACCTATAGCTGTTGAGACCCTGGGGTATGCCAGGTCCTGTCCTACGTCCTGGGAAACAGCAGTGACCAAAGTGGACTTGGGTTCCTCTCTTCCTGAGCTCACTTTCTAGTGGGGGAGAGACATGGTGTGACAGTTTTGGTGCACATTTTGGAAAAAAATCCAGCTTGGTAAGGGGCAGGATGTGGTTTATGGCTCTCTGGAGGGAAGGATGCCATGGGTGGAGGGAACAGCAGGTGTCAAAGCCTTGAGGCCCAGTGCTTGTCAGAGGTGGCAGGAAGGAGGTGGGTAACACTGTTGGAAAGATGGCCTGGTGGGGCAGACCACAGGGCCTTGTGGTCGTAACAGCAGGGTCTAACTCCTCCCCAGAGTCAGAGGCATGGCTGTGGAGTGATATAATCTGACTTTAGGGTGTGATGATAGAATGCCACAGGCGTTGTCACCCCATGGGGGTCTCAGTTCTGGATTGTCTTCAGTGCTGCTGCTAACAAGACCTGCCTTACCCTTGAGGACTAGCACAGTAACACAGGGGAAGCCCTTGGCAGGTGCTCCCACAGTCCCAGCAGGTGCTCTTGTTGTCCTTCCCCAGGTTTCCCTGTGGCTCAGACTGCAGGAGGAGCGCAAGACGCCTTTGCACCATCAGGCACCTGTGCAGGGCTCGCCTGCAATGTTATCTTGCCATCTCTGCTCACTCGGCCTAGTGCAGTAAGGTTTCAGCTTCCGGCTTGGGCTGGCTGAGGGCAACCCCCGTGTGGTTGGACTCCCTGCCATTTCCGTGCCCGTCAGAGTTTTCTGATGATGGACTCCTCCCCAGCACGCACTGTATTACTGTGTCATGTTCTGGTGTGGAGGGGACATCCTTCAAGGCAACTGTACCTGGAGATCTGGAGGAGCCTTTGGAATTGGTTTGCTGGGGAAGTATGGAGAAGTAGGCTAGATAAAGCCAGGTGTGTTGGAGGCTGAGTGTTGTAAGCAGTTCCTGACGAGGGCCTAGGGGCCTAGAATGCTGCTCGAGACGTGAGTGGTGCAGGCTGTGCTGGGAAGATTTCATGAAGACGTGAGGATGCTGGTGGTCATCCCAGCTGTGCTGTTGAGGAGGTGGGTGTTCTTTGGCAGGTCACTCAGCTCTCCCTGCCTCGGTTTCCTCATCTTGGGAGGTAGGAGTGAACCTGGTGGTTCCCACAGGGATTCCTGGAGGCATGCGTGAGCCCTTGGCATTCAGGTTGTGGCAGCTGCTGTTGCTCTTTCTAGAAGCCGGCTGGCTTGGTGAAGGAAATGAAAATGGTCTTTCAGAGTTGCACTTCCAGCTGTCATCCTCATCACAGGCAGGGTCCCCAACTCAAGCCTCGTGACCCTGCTGTGGAGCGTGTCCTGCAGTAACAACAGGGTTCTTTCCACAGGCTCCTGAGTCAGGCTGCTGTGGGAATCAGTTGTTCGGGGATTTGACTTCACACTCATGGGAGGGTATGAAATGGGCTTCCCTCAACCGTGAGCCGTGGGGACTCCCACCCCTCTTGGGGTGGGTTTTAGTAGATGAGACAGATACTTCAAAAAGTTCTTGGAAAATGGATTGAAATATAAATTTATTTTGGTGCAGACATTTTAAAAATCCATGTGTACTTTTTCAAATAATATGCATCTTCATGAACTTTTTTTTTTTTTTTTGATAACCCCTTGTAGGCCTGTATTTCCAGTGTTTTCATACCAAAACACACCTATCTTTTAACTCCATATTCCCATGACGTTTTGAAGGGTCCCCTCAGGCCTCTCTGCAGGTCAGTGGGACTCACCATGGCTCATTTCTTAAGAAGCCATGTGCACAGTGAGTTTGTGGTGACTGCTGGCCAGCGCTCAAGTGTTAGGATGGGCCTGTGCTGCTGTGGCTTAGCTGGCGACTCTGAAGCCTGACCAAGGTTCCAGTGTGGACCTCGTTGTGTCCCAGCTGTGTGGCTTCAGGCAGATGACTTGGCTGCTCGCAGTTTGTTTCCCCAGCTAGAAGGTGAGGCTGCCAGTAATGCTGATATCAGGATCACGTGGGAAGAGAAACCCTTCATGCTTTTAGCCCGGCGGTGGGCTTCTGGGCATCTTATTTCTGGAAGGTTTCTCATCAGACAAACTTTTCAACAGACAGCTTTATCCTAAGGCAAGAAGGTCGGGGATGACCTAGGTGTGAACTGTTTGCCTAACACACATTGTCATGATCTCTAGAAAGGTTAGTTTCTCCAGAAACTCAGGCCAGAGTTGTGTGTGCTTTGCCTGCTGGTGCATCCCCGGTAGAGTGTCTGGCATGTGATGAGTGCTTCATGAAAGTTTGTTGACTGACTGTATGACCTCTGATCATCTTT